TTCTGCATTTAGTCTGATGCCACGGTCGATTAATACAAGCGGAGAGCGACCTTCGGCTGTTATGTCGGCCCACACCATCAACATGGCCGGCGCTTGAGTTCTGGTGGCCAACCGAAAGTGCATATATTTCCAATTCCGTTTCAGGACATTTGGAGTCGTTCTGGCGATGTCGGTCTGTCCGTCTGTCTGGCTGGTGCGCACAAGAACTCTCGAATGGAATATCCGATTTGAGACAAACTTGGTACATCGTAGTATTATTATCAAACTTAGATCGAGTTCGGAGATGCTAATATCGGTCCACTCCTTCTGGTACCTCCCACACAAAATGTAAACATTTTCAAATAAAATAATTTACTGCACAGAAATAGAAAGGATAATTCGATTTTGCTCCAACTTTGCGAATCCTAAATTTACATCAAGGTCCACTCCATCGAGTACTTCCTCCAGAAATAGTCAAAATTTTGAATAATTATAACTCTTATTAAATATGTCTGCTGTGAAAATGGTCTGTATCGGTCCACTTCTTCTGGCACCTCGCCCCCAAAGGGTCAAAATTTTGAACACCCAAAACGATCATAAATTGCGAAATAAGCAATTAAATAAGGTTCTCTTTAAATTACACACATCACAATATTTTTATTAACCCAAAGTCTTGTGTGAAAAATGGGACATATCGGTTCACTCCTTCTGGTACCTCCCCCACAAAGGGTTAAAATTTTGAATTTTGAATGACATCCGATTCCATTCAGATTTGGTATATCTTAATATTTCCATCAACATAAGATCTGTTATAAAGATGATAGAGATCGGATCATTTCTTCTGGTATCTCCCCCACAAAGGGTCAACATTTTGAATACCCAAAACGATCATAAAATCCGAAATAAGCACCCAGTTCTCTTCATATTACACACATCCCATTATTTCTACTAATCCAAGGCCTCGTGTGAAGATGGAATATATCGGTCCCCTCCTTCTGGTACCTCCCCCACAAAGGGTCAACATTTTGAGTAGCCATGAAGTTCATAAAACGAGCAAATAATATCCGATTCCATTCTGATTTGGTATATCTCAGTATTTCCATCAACACAATAAGATGTTAGAGATCGGACCACTTCTTCTGGTACTTCCCCCATGTAGGATTCAAGAAAGCGAAATAAACATCCAACTCTGTACAAACATTTTTGTCATAATTTCCAATACTGTCATATCTTGTAACAAGTAGGTGATTCTTTACAACTTGCTATAACTAAATATTTCTCTTAACCAGAAATCTGATATGAATATATAATTTATTGGAATTTATGATTTCGAATAAAATTGGATATAAATGTTCGATGACATACTTCGGTCCACTATATCTGTCACCTCACGCATATTTCCACATTTTCAAAAAATGTGTACATAGGAAAAAATTCTAAAGGAGGAAGTCGATATAGTCCGAATCTGACCCGTTGTAATATTTATATCAGTCTTAGGTCAGATACGAATTGGTCAATATTGGGCAACTGCTTCGGAACCTAACCTATAAATTGTCAACTGTTTGAATAATTATAACTCAAGGCTGGGGGTATACATCTGTCGGCAAAACCGACTGATATTATTTTACTTATTTTTGGTTTAATTCTATACCTTTCTCACCTGAGTCCAAATCTTCCATAATACTTAATTTTTCTGAATAGTGTCAAAGGAAGAAATATTCTCAAATGATCTATAAATAACAATGTTTACAAAATAGTATGTCTAAAATGGTTTTGTGAGGTATAATTCCTCAATTAGCTTTAAAATTACATTCAGAATGAACTTTACAATATAATAATTTTGAAATTCAATTTTTTTACTTGATTGCATTTTTGATATTTCCACTGCGTATATAATTTCAACAACTATTAAACTTTCCATTAACATTCCATTTCATTAAAAAGTAAGTTTACTATTTTGTTTCACATATTATAATAGCTTTTTACAGTTTTCCCACATATTTCCATACCATCCTCGTTGTGTAACCTAGTCTATTTCAAGCCAATCCCTATACATTAGTTAACATTGAAAAATTTTCGCTATAAATATGAGTTTTTTTACATCACACAATATAAGAATAAAAACCTTGATTTTTTTTTTTTGGTGTCGGACATTTTCTCAATGCTTCGTTGAATTTTAAAAATTTCTTTCGTGAAATTTTCAATTTTGATATGGCAAATAAAAAACATACACTCTTGAAAAGGGATTAACAAAGAATGTGATGTATGTACAAAGGTGATATGTATATTATATACGTATTAAGGTTTATATTTGAGAAAAATGTCAAAATATTATTAATATGAAACGTCACAAGTGGAAATTAATAAAATTAAATTGATTTTTCTACAAAAAAATTAAATATTTCACGACTCTTATCGTGGATTTTTATGAATATTTTCTACGGAATATGTGGTATAAATAGGATAAAAATACCATGTATGAGCCATATCTGATTTTAAACCTTGATTTTAATAATATTTTAGTTGATGTATTTAATTTCATTACATTTTCTATCAATAAGTTTCTGAAAAGCTAATAAGTTTGTGATGTTCAACCCTCAACATTTTTATAAACTACTACCAGGCAATATGTTTTTGTGTATTATAATCTAATTTTCATACCCTCCACCTTGAAAAAGAGGAAAGTATAGCCCCCGTATAACGGTACCTACCGATATTCGGTATTTTGTTAATTTTTGCTACATTTTATACATACAGGGTGAGATAAAAAACTGCAACAATATCATACGCCATAATTTTTAATTTTTTTTAAAGAACAGTGTTGGCTTGTTTGTTCGCGATACCATAGTATTTTGTTGTTGCAAAATGGTCAGGCTTTATCCCTTTGTTGTTGTTTTTATAAAAACAACGTTTGTTTATTAGTGGAGAACGATGGTAATGTTTACCAGGGAGTAAGGCAGGGAATACCTAGGTTTCGAAAAAAGCCACTTATCCTCATCAGTTCCCTTGTTTTTTTTTTGTCTGGGATATTTTTCCAGAAGTTATTTTAAAAATAACTTCTATGACAAAAAACATTTTTTACCCAAGCTCAATAGAAGCTAGAATAATGCTCTGCGGTATTTTGGCCCATTCTCGGCGAAGCGCTTGCTTGAGGTGATTGACACTTTGGTATTTTTAGTGCCAACCTTGCATTTCAAAATACTCCAGACACAATAGTCCAACGGATTGGTACCCGGAGATTTTGATAGCCATTGTGCGCTGGAAATGAAGCGAAGAACCTCATTTTGTAATCATTCTTGGGTGGCGCGTGCTGAGTGCGATGATGCTGAGTCCTGTTGGAATGTCCAAGGCCAAAATGTTTGCGTGACCATGTCTTTAATACACTTTCCAGAATATTTTCGCGATACTATTCTGCATTTATTCTGATACCACGGTCGATTAATGCGAGCGGAGAGCGACCATCGGCTGTTATGGCGGCCCACACCATCACCAAGTAAACACGATCATTTTGTTTGTTTACAAACTACTGGACAACGAATGTTTTCTCATAGGAGAAAACGGCAGTTCACCACTTTCGGCCAAGCGAAGCAACTCTTTAGCTCTTTTCAGTCTATTTTCTTTCTGTTGCGGTGTAAGTCTTGCACTTTTTGGAATTTCAATGGCTCGGGGCAAGCTCATTTTCAATATTTGCCGAAGGGAATATTGCGATACGTTCGGCTCACGAGCCATTTTTCGGCCACTGGGATGCGGGTTTCAATCAAGTGCATTTCTGCTGATGTTGCTGTTTTATTCCGTCCACTTCCTTGACGCCGGGCTACGCTACCAGTATCACGGTAACGAAATTAAGAAGGTAAAGTCATTTCATATAAGCATTCCCATCTCTGCATTTTCTGTAATTTACCTTGTCACATTTCACTACATGAAAACCATCTCTGATGACAATGAGATGTTGTCAAATAAATATTTTTTTGAAAAAATTGTAAACATATCCTTCATTCTACCATGGATGGTACGAAACACAAACGATTTGTTCACATTTAAATGCTGGAGTGCTCTAACGATAGCCACTTGTTGTTTTTCCAGTCAAATATAAAGAAATCACACTTGAATTCCATCACTAATAACTTTTTTCTGGAAAATTCTCACCAAAAAGCTTTTGTACGCTTGTAAATAATATAATGAGCTGTCACTGGAATAATTTTAACAGCTGTCGATCGAGTGGCTTAGAAATGCCAGCAGTCTGAAGTTGGTTGCAGTTTTTTCATCTCACCCTGTACATATAGGTCCACTTTTCCGTACAGACGCCATATAACGATATCTCCCGATATTCGGTCTTTTGATGGTTTTAGTCACATTTTTTACGGATTGGTATCTGTAGTTGGGTTTTAGCTCCGGTGTCGGAACATTGTAAATATATGCCCACGTTTTCGTATTTTGATGATTTTTGCCACATTTTCAACGGATTTGTCTAAAAATTGGTAAATGCAGTTCATAATGGGTTGTAGCTCCGGTGGCAGAACATTTAATATCTAGGTCCACGTTTTCCTATAGTGCACATATAACGTTACCCACCGACATTCGGTTATTTGGTAATCCTAGTTTCATTTACCCATGAAATTGTTTCAAATTTGGTATTGAAGACTAGCAATAGATAACAATCCTTGAATTAAAAATTTGTTTAAAAAAAAAATTTAAAAAATTGACTTTACCCAATTTATTTTTCTTTGAAGGTATCGTTATTGCATAATCCAAACGGTTTTACTGGTATTTGAATTAAGATACGTTTGAATTAAGATACGTTTGAATTAAGATACTTTTATATAATATTTTTTTCTTTACCCAAAGGTTATTAAAAGTTTGGCCCGGCCGAATTTAATATTTTTTAACTTGTTTAAAAACACTTATATAGGGATTTCAAAGCTATATCGAATTTTTCTATTTAAACTACACTACGGCGTATACATACTCATTGTTCATCCCATGAACAATACGCCTATTACAACAACAATTAAAATGCAGCATTTTGTTTTATTTATCTTATAGAGATTTGATTTATTTTCTCGAATTTCGAAATGCCATATTAAAAATATGTATATGTATATCTTAAAATGTAATTTATTTTAAATTAATAGTTTTTCGTTTTTAATTAAACCTAATAAATACACAAATGCAAATACACAAAGACGAACGAGTGAGAACGAGTGTAAAACGGCCATACATACATTTATGCACTTGAGAAATGTATCTGAAAAAATATGTGTGACAATTTTGCACAGTCAACACACACACACGGCTCCGTTATCAGGTATTAGGCATCATTGCCAGATCTTTTGTCCTTCAATTGGGTGCAATAGTACCGATCGCTATTCTCAATCCAATCGCAAACATTTGATATGGTATGGAAGGCGGTGCCTTCTTTGCATTCGAATTCGACGGGCATGCCGTGCACGCAACGATAATACTGGAATAAATGAAATGCGGGGTTAATATTATTAAAATGTTAAATAAGGAGATTGTTAAAATATGCGTGTTCAATAAGAAAGAATTTATCTCATCGAATTTATCGCATCGACATCGAGATAAGTTTTCTTACCTTTCTGCAGTCTTCATGTGGCACGAAATCTTTGTGACTACAATCGATATGACTTAAGTCTGGATTAGAATTTCCTTGAACTGTAACTTCGGGTTCCATTGGATCAGGTTTCCATGGCACTGGGGCTCCTGTTGTGGTTGTGAGAGGTTTTTTGGTTGCTTTCATAGGTCTCTGAAATATTGAGGAGGAAAAAAATTATTTACTATCGTCTATAAACAGATATGAGGGCTACTTCGATGTTTTTGAAAAAAAAAAAAAATAAAACAATAAAAAATAAATAAAAACATAACAATAATCAACCAAATAAAATCAAACATAAAATCAAAAATTATGGATTTTTAAGAATATTTCAAAAAGGGCTCTAAGAAATGTAATCGTGAACTTTTTAACAACATTGTTGGAGGGTCTATCAGAGCTATAACCACGGATAAAAATGCTGAGGGGCTATAAACGTGGATTTATAAAAATATGTTAGGAGCAACTATCAGAGCTTTATAAAAATATTATTTTGATTTTTACTTGTTCCTCATAAATGTTGATTTATTTTTTAATTCGATTAATAAATTGTTTTTGTGTTTAATACATTTTTGAGGAATTTATAATAAAATTATGTAAATTGTTTGGACTTTTGAAAATATATTTTTGTATGTATAGGTCCAGGTTCTGGTAACTGCCGATATTCAATATTTTGATGATTTTTGCCACATTTTTTAATGGATTTGTCCAGAAATTATCATTTGTAGTTCGTAATGAGTTCTAGTTGGGTTCTAGTGAATATTTAGTTCCACGTTTTCCTATAGCGCACATATAACGATACCCACCGATATAGTATTTTGGTAATCCCAGTCACATTTACCCATATTTTTTTTTTTCGATTAACTATAAAAGCTATAAAATATGTTTCTTTTTAGCAAATATTCTATCAGAGCAATAAACAAGGATTTAAAAAAAATTGGATTTTTTGAGGTACTATCAGAGTCAAATATTTTTTTTATTTGATTCGTAAATTTATAAAACTTAAGGGCTAAAAATATGATATTTCTTCAGATTCTATAATACTTATAAGAGAGACTCTATAAAATATTATTATTAAATCTATATATCTATACACCAGTAAGGAAAAGACAAAAGTAGGGCGTGGCCGACTATATGATACCCTACACCACTATGCATATTTACTAGAGCTCACGTAACAAACGAATATATTTCAAGTAGATCATACCACCTATCAATATTGGCTTTAGAGCAGTTATAGTTTGCTATAAAGTGCATGATATCACTTGGAGAAGGATTATATTAAAAAATATATATCGGAACCGAGTTGCACAAAATAGAAACGTACGTCCCGAAATTCTCTCCATTTGGGCTGATATAAGCCATTATTGAACCGAACTTGACAAAATTTCATACACTTATTTCAGAGCTCTATCTTATATCTGGTACCAAAGATCATTGTTGTGGAATGCATATTATGGAGGGAGATAAAACCCGAATCGGATGAAACGTACATTTGGGTGCTATAGCTATATCTGAACTGATTTTGATTGATATTGATTTACTTGCTTCTAGACTGAATTCGGTAGGACGTACCAAAATACAGGTAATTTAGACTTTTATTAACCATTTGGTGCACAATTAACCCGAAATCGGTGGAAGGTATATAAGAGCTATATCTAAATCGGATCCGATTATCCAAAATTTCAATTGACTTCGTCCTTGGGCCAAAAAAAAATATTGTTTGCAAAATTTCATCTCAATCGGATAATAAATGCGACCTGCATTTTATTCACAAGAATACATGGACAAATGGACGGACAGACTGACATGCATAGATAGACTCAGAAATTGATTCTATGAAGATCCTCAAAAGTAACTATGGGTCAATCTCGCTTCCTTCTCCATGTTACAAACAAATTCACAAAGACATAATACCCTTACCACTATGTGGTGTAGGGTATAAAAAGTAGAGTGTTGAGTGAATGTGGGTCAATGTTGGTATGTGGGGATGAGATAAGACTGTTTTTTTTTTTTGGAACTATAAGTGTACTAAAAATCGAATCCATTGTATCTTCCAGGTTGATAAAGCTAGAATTCTAAAATTTAAATGTGGGGTCCCTTATATGGTGTAGGATAGATATACCAAAAGATTTTTTTTTTTAAATTCCAATTATATGTGTACATAAAGCACTAAATCTGGTATTATGTGGACAGGTTTGATTAGGGTCACTTTTATTGTGTGTGGTTGAAATATGAAGACGGATTTAGAAATACATACTAAAACCAGTAAGGAAAGCTCAAAAGTCGGGCGGGGCTGACTATATGATACCCTACACCACTATGCATATTAAGTAGGTTTATAAGGTTTATACAGGCCATTTCAGAGCTCTATGAGATATTTGGTACAAAATCAAAATCTGTCTAATTCTATCGTGCATTTTACGAACTATAGCTATCTCTGAACCGGGTTTCTCCAAATTTGACGTATTAGCTTCTAATTTCGGTTATGTACGAAAATTCAGGTGATTTGGGCTGATATTGACCATTTAGTGCACATTTAACCCGAAATCGGATGAAGATATATATGGGAGCTATATCCAAATCTGAACCGATTTCGATAAAATTTAAAACAGCTATTTCTGTGCTCCATCTAATACCTGGTACCAAATATCACGGTTGTGGAGTGCATAGTAGGAATGTGAGGGACTTAAAGATCAAATCGGATGAAAGATATATATGGGAGCTATAGCTATATCTGAACCGATTTTCTCCAAATTTGATATACTTGCGTCTAGGCCGAACTCGGTTGGGTGTGCCAAAATTCAGGTAATTTGGACTGATAGTGGACATTTGGTGCACATTTAACCCGAAATCGGATGAAGATATATATGGGTGCTATATCTAAATTTGATCCGATTCTCACCAATTTCAATAGGGTTCGTCCTTGGTCCAAAAAAATATTTTTTGGAAAATTTCATCTCAATCGGATAATAAATGCGACCTGCATTTTGTTCACAAGAATACATGGACAGACGGACGGACAGACGGACGGACGGACAGACGGACTGACATGCATAAATCGACTCAGAAAGTGAGAAAGTGAAAGTGAGTGTTACAAACAAATGCACAAAGACATAATACCCTTACCACTATGTGGTGTAGGGTATAAAAATACGGTCTGGGGGTCTACAGCCCAATAAGAAATCGTGATTAAGAATATAGAACTAAAAAGAAGAAAACTTTCGAGTAATTAGAGAATATTTTTTTGAGAACTATTGTAAATATCTCTGACAGTATATACAGATTCAAAAAATATTCTTTACAAATTTGTGATAGTTTTTCAAAAAATATTTGAGGTACCATCAGAGCTATAACCCTCAATTTCTTGGAGAGTATTTGTAAGATATTCTGAAATTTAAATTTAAATGAAATTTTAAAGGGATTCTTGTTATGGAATATGAAATCTATAAAAGGGAATTTTTTAAATGTTTTTCAACGGTGGAGATTTTAGGTTTATTGTTAGGGATTATGTGACTAATAACCATTGAATATTTTGAAGGGACCATCGGAGCTTTTTTTTTTTTTGAAAGTTTTTTTTAAGATTTTTTTTTCTAAACTATTTTTAGAGCTGTAAAAATCGATTATTTATATATACATATGAAGGATTAATCTGTGAGTATTTGGAAATATCTGTTCAACATTACAATTTGAAATAAAAACAAGTAAGCAAAGGCTTGCGGGGCCGACCATGGTATACCCTACAACTCTACAATATGTTAGAAGTCTCCTTATGTCCAAGTTTTGGCTCTTAAAATGTTATCACGGAACACTACCCAGATATTACCCTTAGCATTTGGACCAGTGACATTTGCCCAATATTTACGTACTTTGCCATGCTGTTAGTTTTTGTGGTCCATTTTACAGCTAAATATAATGGTCATACAAAATGCTAGAATTCTTCGCTGTCCTTATCGGGCCATAATTGCGACCTGTAGAGTGATTACAAATTAACATGGACAGACGGACGGACGGACATACATAACTAGATCGACTCAGCTCGGCGAGAAAGGAAGACCCATTTTCAATTGCCTATGTGGGAAACCAATGTTTCGAGGTTTTACATAATTTTTGGCCCAGTCAAACTTATAATACCCCCAACACATAGTGTTGTAGGATATAACTACTACCACTTTAAAAGTTCTTCTCACGTGCTAGATGTCCAGGTATCTTTCGTCATCAAAATCAATATTTAAATATATCCCGACTAGCAGATCGAACCGTTACTCAATACTTTGAAATTTTCACTCGTGTGACTAGAAATCACATTTTTTGAGGGTCTCTTACCTTGGTTGTTGGCATTGTTGGTGGCGCTGTTGGTGATGGTGCCATTGTTGCAGGTCTTTTTGTTGTGGCGGGTTTTGGTCGGCGTGTTGTTGTTGCCTCTGGCACTGCCAAACTGCCCTCATCAGGATTTGGTGGTGTTGCTGGGGGTTTGGCCCATTCAGGCTATAATAAAAACAGAAAACAAAATTGACAAACAAGAACCAAAGCAAATCAAAAACAAAAACAAAGTGTATAAATAAATAAACCGCAGACACAATGAAATGATAACGACCACAGAAACAAAAAAAAAAATTAAATTCATTTGGCACCTGCTCACGTCTTGTGACACATAATAAGTGACAACTTACCCTAGGCGTTGTTTCGCGCGTTGGTTCCGGCACACGATAATTTCTCATATTCTCATATAAGATATGCATGAGACCATTGGGACGACCACACAGACCATGGAAATCGTCCATGTCAATGGCCCATGTCATGGCACCGGCATAGCCCTTCTGTTTTATCCAATCCATTTTGATTTGTACCGAGGCCTCATTTTCATAGCCCACCCATTGGGTGTCGCGATATGTATAGGGCACCATGCCATCCTTGTCCCACTCGACGGTCCAGCCATTGGCTTTATCCTTGACTTCGGTGCAGATTTCATAGTAAGCCAAGAAACCACTGGCATTTGTGAAGGGGCCAGGGGCACCACCGCCTGCCTCTTTGTTAATATACGTGCCCATGTTGTAGTTTTTGTTTGAGGCACTCAAGGTGAAGGTACGACCATAGAAGGGAATACCAACTACCAGTTTGTTGGCCGGACAACCCATTTCTTCCCACAAGGCAAGACCATCGTTGACATTTAATTTCTCATAGGCATATTGATCGTGTTTGCGTTTGTACAAGGGGCTGTGGACATCGGCGAAACCGGCCCAATTGCCACGTAAATCATAAGTCATGGCATGGATGGCATCCAGGGCTCTGAAAGGAAAACAATATTACAAAGTTGTCAAGTGTGCTGAGAAAAACGATCGACTTACTCGCATAGCTCCGGAACATGATAGCCCTCCTGCAAACGGAATTTCGCCACCGGCACAGCCATTGTGATTTCCCAACCACGACCCTCCCGATCGAATGCTCGGCGCAGTTCTTGTACAAAATACAAAAATTTATCCTTATCACCATAGGTACCACCACGATCTGTGGCACCGGGGTATTCCCAATCCAAATCGAAACCATCAAAATCATATTTCTTCATAAAACTCACGACGCTGCGAATGAAACGTAAACGATTGTCACGCACAGCTACCATGCGGGAATATTTGGAACCACCTTCAGCCCATCCACCCACAGCAATTTGTAGCTTCAAATTCGGATGCGTTTTACGTAGCTGGGTAAAATTACGGAAACCATTCTGTTCAACATCTATCTCGGGATCTATGACCAACACCTCCCATGTTTTGTCATCAACCCCTATAAATGAATACACCAAATGGGTACACATATCCGCTGGAATATCTTCGATGCCATAACGTCCCAAGCCTGGCCGATAAACAGCCCAGTTACTGAAATAACAAACAATACGAGCCTGTTGTTCGGAGGCGGCTTCCACTGTCGTTCGACTAGACAGTGCAACTCCCACCAAGACAAGGAGTGTAAAGAAAAGGCTTTTGGCTGGAAATAAACAAAAAAAGAAATATCGGAGATTGAAAAAGTTCTTAAGAGAGAGGGAAAACGAGAGAAAGTTACATTATTATTTTGAATAAGTGTGTCCTCACAATAAGTTTGAAAGTGATGATTATGGTCTAAATAATAAAGTCACAATTAAAAGCCAAAATGCTTAATCTTCGGATTTTTATACCCTGTCATTCCGTTTGTAACACCTCGAAACATACATTTTAGACCCCACAAGGGGTCATCAGCATGAAATTCTATGTCGATTTAGCGATGTTCGTCCGTCTATCCGTCTGTAGAAGTCACTCTAGCTTCCGAAGAAAACGAAGTAGATTGATAACATTTTACTCAAATGTATATTATGTCTGCAGGTCTTTTGGTATTGAAAATGGGCCATGTAGGTCCACGTTTTGGTATAGCCCCCATATAATTTTACATCACTTTTTTCGGAGTTTTCGTGATTTAATTGACATTATTCACAGGAATTGTTTCAAATTTGGTATTTGAAGTTCGTAATGGATACTACAGCCTTGGACAGAAAATTGTCTGTGCAGGTCTACGTATTCGTATAGCCCCCATGCAACGGTACCTCCTGATATTCGGTATTTTAATGATTTTAGCGACTTTATTCACCGGAATTGTATCAAATTGGGTATTTAAAATTAGTAATGGATACTTCAGCCTGAGACAGAAAATTGTCTGTGCAGGTCCACGTCTTCGTATAGCCACCATACAACGGTACCTCCCGATATTCGATAGTTTGATGATTCTAGCGACTTTATTCTCCGGAATTGTTTCAAATTTGGAATTTGAAGTTCGTAATGGATACTTCAGCCTGAGACAGAAAATTGTCTATGCAGGTCCATATCGTCGTATAGACCCTATATAACGGTACCTCCCGATTTTCGATATTTTGATGATTTAAGCGACATTATTCACCGGAATTGTTTCAAATTTGGAATTTGAAGTTCGTAATGGATACTGCAGCCTAAGACGGAAAATTGTCTGTGCAGGGCCACGTCTTCGTATAGCCACCATACAACGGTACCTCCCGATATTCGATAGTTTGAAAATTTTAGCGACTTTATTCTCCGGAATTGTTTCAAATTGGGTATTTGAAGTTCGTAATGGATACTACAGCCATGTCGTCGTATAGACCCTAAAATAGCTCCTACATAACCGTACCTCCCGATATTCGATATTTTGATAATTTTAGCTACATTATTCACCGATTTATTCTTAAGTTTCGCATTTGAATATTGTAATGGCCTATGACAAAAGTTACCTATGCATGTCCATGTCGTCGCATAGACCCTAATATAATAGCTACACTCGGTATATTTAAGATTTTAACAGAATTTTTGAATTGGAATTTTTGAGAATTGCCAAATTCGTTCTAAATGATGGAGGGTTCGGAATGTTCGGCTGGTCGAACTTACACCTTTTTTACTTGTTAGAGAGTGAAAAGCTTTCTAAAAAGATTTTTTTTTTGCAGATCAAACGGAACCTTCGAATTTAAGGGATTTTGAAGCAAACGCATTTAGACATAATTTAAGTTCTCCCAAGTTGTTGTGTTCTCAGTACTTTTGACAAGTGATACATGATCTAAAAAATGCTGGGTTGTTATTTAAACACCTCAAAACTTTCTCAAAACGTGCGGGCAAAAATTCCCAATTCTGGCTCTAACTGTTCTATTTGACCGATGATTTATATGCAATTTCCTATTATTTGAATTTCACAAAACAATTCTCAACACCGAATTCACACAGATATTTTTTTATGATGTTTCGACATTGTTTTCTTTTCATAATGGTCGTTTATGCTAATAAATTGCTGCTAAACGAAATAGAAAATACCATAGATCACTGAAATTAACAGACACACGAATGAGGATAACCACATATATAGAATTATACAGTAGGAACACTATAATTGTAGTACGAATCGATTTTGAGAGAAACGGCAAAAATTCAAAACAAACTATTTTTCATTTACTAACAAATTTTAAAAAGAAAATAAATTCGCATTTATCTGATTGCACACAATCGAAATTCTACTGTTTGCTATTTCATTGTTTTCGTTAAAAATACAAAAAATTTAATTAATTTCGAAAAGTAGAAAAAATAACATTAACTTATATTTCATCCGATGTCGCCAAAATATATGTATGCATGTATATTCTTCTTCTTCTTCTTTTTTACAAATTTACGACAAATTATAACACGAATATAGGATGTTGGTATTTATGTATGTACGAGTATTTCGCTATGTAGGTATAAATCTTTTGACTGCATTTTATCACACCATTTTAATTACTATGTATTTTGATAAGATTTTTTGTGTAAATATGTCTATGCGCTTATGTACTCACTTGGGTCTGTTGACAAGGGCGTGAACATAAAAACATTTAACATTTAACATTTAAAATAGAAAATTCGGTATTTTAGGTATATAATTACTTTATGGGCCCTATCCAAATGAAAATTCAAAAAAAAGGTACCACAAAAAACACGTTATTTTGGATTTTTCAAAAATTCGTTAAAGAATATTTTTTGTTTTTATTTAACACACACATATGTGACATTTTAACACCGACGGTAATGATAATTATTACAGATTTTCAGATTATATGAGCGAGCTGAGTGGGTCCATCTACCTTTTTATCTTTTGTTTTTTTTAACCTCTGCAGTAAGCCTGTAATATATAGAGAATTGAATCTGAAGCTGATTTTTCCATCACATCACAATTGTGACCAATCGATGCAGAATTTTGCATAGGGTTCGACTTTAAAGCAGGGCAATAGCCTACACTTTGCAGGTCGCATTTGTTATCCGATTGAGATAAAATTTTGCAAATAATATTTTTTGGCCCAAGGACGAACCCTATTGAAATTGCTGATAATCGGATCAGATTTAGATATAGCTCCCATATATCTTCACCCGATTTGGGTTCAATTGTGCACCAAATGACTAATAAAATTCAAAATAACCTGTATTCCTGTAACCTGTGTGATTTCTTTATATTTGGCTGGAAAACCACAATTGGCTATCGTTAGAGCACTCCAACATTTAAATGTGAATAAATCCTTTGAGTCTCGTACCAACGCTCGTTACCGTGACATTGGTAGCGTAGCCCGACATCAAGGAAGTGGACGGAAGAAAACAGCAACATCAGCAGAAATGGTTCGAAAAGTAAAGAAGCGACTTGATCGAAACCCACGTCTCGGTGGTCGAAAAATGGCTAGTGAGCTAAACATATCGCAATATTCCATTCGGCAAATATTCCAAAATTAACTCGGGGTAAAGCCAGTGAAATTCCAAAAAGTGCACCGCAACAGAAACAAAATAGACTCAAAAGAGCTAAAGTTGTTGCTTCGCTTGGCCGAAAGTGGTGAACTACCGAATTTGGATTTCTACGATGAGAAAACATTCGTTGTCCAGCAGTTTGTAAACAAACAAAATGATCGTGTTTACTTGCCAAGGAGGTCAGCTGAAAATGTGCATCTTCGGTTGGCCACCAGAACTCAAGTGCCGGCCATGGTGATGGTGTGGGCCGCCATAACAGCCGATGGTCGCTCTCCGCTCGTATTAATCGACCGTGGCATCAGAATAAATGCCGAATATTATCGCGAAAATATTCTGGAGGCAAACGCACGGTTCCTCGCTTCATTTCCAGCGCACAATGGCCACCAAAATCTCCGGATCTCCAATCCGTTGGACTATTGTGTCTGGAGTATTTTGGAAAACAAGGTTGGCACTAAGAAATACGAAAATGTCGATCACCTCAAGCAAGCGCTTCGCGGGAATGGGCCAAAAAACCGCAGAGCAACATTCGGGCAGCGTGTGACGATTTATTGGCCGTTTGAAGACCATAATTCGTGCCAAAGGTGACCAATTCGAACAAATCTAAACTTATTCTAATAGTTGATGCTATTTCCGACATTTCTTGCTTTCATTCAATAAAATTTAAAACAAAATGTAAAAATTATGGCGTTTGACCTTGTTGCAGTTTTTTATCTCACTCTGTACGATATCGTGGACCGACGTGGACGTGTTGGGCCTAATATTATTCTTACGATAGGTGACAATCGGAATGACGAACTTAATATACTCTACATAATATGTATGGTGGAGGTTATAATAAGTAATATATAGAAGGTATATCTTTGTGCCTGAACGATATTCATCAAAATCCTATTTGAGGTGATATTCCATTTGTAGGCACCATAAACGTAAAATCGGAAGACGGTATTTATGGGAGTCATATCCGAATCTGAACAAATCTTTATACAATTTTGCAAAGGTATTTCTATGCTGTGTGTGACAAAATATGGTTGTTGTGGGGAGCATTTTACGGGTGTTAGGGACTTGAATACATAATCGATTTAAACATATATATGGGACCTATAGCTATATATTAACCGATTTTATAATTTAATACACCCTCTTCCAGGCTGAATTCGTTCCTATGTGCCAAAATCCATTCAATTTGGACTTATATTAACAATTTGGTGCACAATAATCTAGTAAAGATATATATGGAAGCTACATCCAAATCTGACCCGATCTCGATGAAATTTGGCAGAAGTATTTCTAAACTGAATTTGATATATTTATATTATGGCTATAGAGGACAAAAATAACAAATCGTATTTACAATATATATGGGAGCTATAGCTACATCTGTACCGATTTCCGCCAAATTCGAAATACTTATTTCTAGACCCAATTTGATCGTATGTTTCATCCTATTTCGACTAATATTACTCTTTTGGTGCACAGTAAACGCAAATCGGACGAAGATGTAAGCTATTTCTATGTCTTTACAGGAGAAATGGAATAAGTGGGTCAAATCTTTATGGTACGTTCTACAAAGAGACGGCGCATAAAAAATGGTAGAATGCTGAGGCTATACATGTGAAGGAATACGTACTGAAATTTTCTAACGGTTTGATTTTATTTGTTTATATCTCCCCATGGTGAAATTATTTCTAAACCATGACTTCTTCGAGGGATATAACAAAACGTGGACCTGCACAGACAATATTCTACCATAGGCTGTAGTATCCATTTCTAAGTTCAAATATCAAAATTTGTTCCGGTGAATGATGTCGGGAGGTACCGTTGTATGGGGGCTATGCGAAGACGTGGACCTGCACAGACAATTTTCTGTCTTAGTCTGTAGTATTCATTGCGAACGTCAAATACCAAATTTGAAACAAGTCCGGTGAATAATGTCTCTAAAATCAACAAAATACCGAATTTTGGGAGGTACCGTTATATGGGGGCTATAACAAAACATGGACCTACATGGTCAACGTGGACTTACATGGTCTATACCAAAAGTCCTGTAGACATAATACACATTTGAGTAAAATTTTATCAATCTACTTCAATTCGTTCGGAAGCTAGAGTAATTTCCACAGACGGACAGACATCGCTAAATCGACATAGAATTTTATGCTGATGAAGAATGTATATACTCTGTGGGGTCCAAAATGTATATTTCGAGGTGTTACAAACGGAATGACAAACCTAACATACCCTCCATACTATGGTGGAGGGTATAAAAAAAATGTTTAAATCATTGGAATTGATTTTCAACACCAGAGGTGGTATTTCATATAGGCTTCAGTATTCCAATATTTTGCAAGATTTATTCAAATATTTTTCTGTTAATGAACTCAAAATACACACACAATTTGGCATCAAATCAACACTCAATAGTTTTTCAATTGAAAACATTACATTAATTAGGCATTACAAATTTTTTCAACACAAGAGGTTCAATCAACTGCACAATGAATATATTTTTTGGTTGTCACATGATTACGTGGATATGCCTTGGACAGCGCCGTCAATAAATGAAATGTCTTTGACGTTGCCAAAAGCGGAAAGGAATCAAGCAATCGAATCGAATTGAACCCCCGCCATGGTTACACATCGCACAAAGCAACAACAACAAACTATTCCAAATACAACAACAAATAATTATTTCAAAATACACTCTTAGAATACATAATTGACACACGCTCGGCACGATCACATATTTTTTTGTTTTTATCTTTTTGGCGATCGAAAAGTTTTGTTTAAAATTTTGAAGACGTTGTTGAAATTTGTTTCGTTTTTTCATTACTCTCTTTTGTGGTTAACAACAGTGAGAAATATTCTTTCTATTTTCTTTCTTCACTTCTTGAGGTTCTTCTTTTATTTTTCTCTGTTGGACAATGGAGACATTCCATTGCAGCTGATTCCTCTGACATTGTTGCAACTGTCAAGGTAAGAGTTATGATTGCTACAGTTGTCTTTGTTTAAACTCCCATGGATTGAGGCATGACTGGCTGGCTGGCTTGGGTGGGAGGGAAGTAGGTGCAGGTGGATGCACCATCATCATCATTCAATCCATTGCATGAATGGAAAAGTTCATTAACACCCATGGCTTTGTGCGATGCACACCATGTCCATGTTCACTGGCGGGGTAGCATTTTTATAGTTTCAGTAAAAATATTTTGAATTAGTTTGGCTTTTTTTTCTTCAGTTTCTTTCACTTATTTTTTTCGTAATAACAAACACACAATTTCTATGACCACATTTGGAATAGATAGTATTTTATTTTCATAACGTTTCTTGGTTCTTAACTTTCTTTCACTTCACTGCCGCTTACCCATTATGACTTAAAATATATTTTGAAACTACAGAAAGTAACGATCTTCTCTGCACGAATGTCTGATTTGAAATAACTTGAAAGTGTTACAAAACGCCGGCTTATATACGAACGTTATGGAAATGGCTAGCCAATGCCAGAAACAACAAAAAAAACCACACAACAGCCAAACAACGGCCCGTAGAAATGCGTATGAGTTGTACGGCTTTGGCTTAACGGAATATCGTAAACGATATTTATGTTCATCTCCTTTGGATTTTGTGTTTGTTACTTTGTAATGCAGTTTTGTTGGAAATTTTACTAAGCTTTAAGAATATAATTTGGGATCAACGGTGAGACTAGACATTTATCCCATTGTAAATCCTAGCTAACATGCTAGGGAAAAAACACGTTCAGCATTATCGCTTTATTTTCGTATTTTTATTGTTATTATTATAAACAATAATATTTTTCTTCACGCATATCATATCAAGTAGATGAAATATTTCCGGTTCCTCCTTTTAGAATGAAGGGTGCATAAAATGTGTCATTCTGTTTGTGACTAATCGAAATAATCATCATCAATCATCAGGTATCGACAGAAGTTGACCGTATGTCCTATTTTAAACAAATGGCTCCATTGTAAAATGAAAATTTTTATAAAAGGAAGAAATGTGAAATGAAAAATTTTATAAAGGAAATATTTTTTTATTTTCATAGAACTAGAATCCAGCTTCAGACCTAATATTGACATTTTCCATTTGAAGGTTTTTGTTATTATACCCTCCACCATACATATCTATAAAGTTCGTTATTCCGTTTGTAATTCAATTAAATAATAATTTTAGACATAACATATTGTATATGTTATTGATCAGCGTAAAATTCTAAGGCAATTTAACCCTATCCGTGCGTCCGTCTTTTGTAATCATGCTAGAGTTAAAACAAATAAAGATAGGAAGCTAACATTTTGCACAGATCAAAGTTTTGTCTGCAGGCAGGTCAAGTCCGAAGGTAGGCTATATCGGTACAATATATCGTATAGCCCCTATATAACGATGTTTTGATGGTTGTAGCCAAAATTTCCAATGAAATTGGCTGAAATTCCACACACCAAGCTACAGAACTTCTGAGTTCTTTACCCCCTGGAAGAGAAATGCCTATATAGGTCCACAATATCGTATATCTCCCATATAACGGTAACTCCCTAAATTTGGTATTTTGATGATTTTAGCTACATTTTTCAATGGAATTATCTAACAATCTATGCTAGAAGTTCTTTCTAAGCACTTTACCCCCTAGAAGAGAAATGTCTATATATCGTCACGATATCGAATAGTCCACCTACAATGGTACACCCAGTATTCGATATTTTGACTATTGCAGGGACATTATTCATCGGATTTGTTTCAAATTTCGTATTTAGAACACGTAATAGGTACTACAGCCTGTGACAGAAAATTTTCTATGCAGGTCCAGGTCGTATAAACCCGATATAACGTAACTCCCCACATTCGGTATTTTGATGAAATTATTAAATTATTCCCCGGATCGTGTTTCATGTTTCGTATTTGAATATTGTGATGGCTTCTGACAAAAGTTGCCTATTTAGGTCCATGTTTTCGTATAGACCCCAATATAAGGGCTATGTTCGGTATTTTTAAGACCTTTTTTGAAGGATTTAATTTTTTTTTCATTTCCAAATTTGTTGTAAATGGTGGAGGGCAATCCACTCCATGTTATACCATATAACACCACAATATGTTAGAAGCCCCCTTAAGTCCAAATTCATTTTGAAAGATTTCGCTTTTGAAGTTATTTCACGGAGCACTGCCCAGATGTTACCCCTAGCATTTCGACCAAGGACATTTGCCCAATATTTACGTACTCCGTCTTGCTGTTCGTGGTTGTGGTCCATTTTACAGCTAAATATAATACAATGGTCATCCAAAATGATAGAAGGCTTGTCGATTGGCTTCAATTGTGTGATCATGAAATTGTTCCTGTTTTTGGTTTATTTGATCCCCTAAATATTTTGCGATCATCTCCAAAAGCAAGAGGCCCCTCTGTATCTCCAAATTTAGACTTATCTATATGATTTGCTTGTTTACGATATTTTGCTATATTCGTCACCGAAATCAGTATAAAAAAGCTAGAAGTTCGTCTTTTGTGTGTTTCGAACATCGCCTATAAGTAATGCTGGTATTTTTTTTTCACACAAAAGTAGTGGTTCATTTTACCCGCTGTCCTAAACTCTAACTTCATGCGACGGCTGCAAAATCAGGAATATTTTTAGTTGTTGGTCCATCTCAACCCCTAAATATATTTCGGACATCTTTGAAAATAGGCCTAGCCCTTCTGAGCCTAACCCTACCCTTGTGAAAATTTTCGTGAGGATCGACGATAATTGCAATCTATATATAACAACCTCAACCTGAGTTGTAAGGTGAAAAAATATTACAAACTATACACTTTAACATTATAAGTCAAATTGAAAAAAATCGCATGCGATAAAAAATTGAAAAAAATAAATAAAAATTCACAAAATACTACTATTTTAACATTGTTATTGGCATCTTCTTTTTTTAAGATTTTATACTTTTATGCCAGGAGGGCATTCTGAATTGACAAAATTTGTGAAAATCGGTCCAGCCATTCTAGAGATGTAAGCATTCTAGCTACCAACCGGTCAGAATTGACCTGTTCGTCTATTTGTGATTTCGCCGGGATTTAAAATATTCGCCGTTTAAAATTTGACTTTTATTTGTTATGGTCTATTTCACCCACTAAATACTACCCGATGACCATTAAAATTGGAAGGCTTCTGCCCAGCCTTAAGCTCTAGCCCCATGCTAACTTCCGCTTTGTTTGGTCTATAATTGCGACCTGTAGAGCAACTGCAAGATCAGGATTTTTTTCAGTTTTTGGTCCATTTCAACCCCTTAATATTATGCGATCATCTCCAAAAGAAATAGGGTTCTATTCTGACCCTAGCCACCACCATTCTAAATTTCGTGAAGATCGGACCATAATTGCGACCGGTAGAGTGATTACAAATTAACATGGACAGACGGACGGACGGACATACATAGCTAGATCGACTCAGCTCGGCGAGATAGGAAGATCCATATATACTTTCCTATGTGGGAAACCAATATTTCGTGGTGTTACATAATTTTTGGCCCAATCAAACTTATAATACCCCCAACACATAGTGTTGTAGGGTATAAAAATTCACAAAATACTACAAAATCTATTTTTACATCGTTATTGGCATCTTCTTTTTTTAGATTTTATACTTTTATGCCAAAAGAGCATTCTGAATTGACAAAATTTGTCAAAATCGGTCCAGCCATTTTTGAGATATAAGCATTCTAGCTACCATCCCCTTCCTTTGTATATACACATTGTATATATTTCGCTTTATATATATATATCCGATATATTTACTATCGGTATCTACGCAACGGTCAGAATTGACCTGTTCGTCTAAAATACCTATATAAATATAGGAACTGTACCCCAAGGGGTCGATATAAACCTTTTTCAATACCAAACATTTTAGGCAAATTTCCAGCACTATGAAACGATTTTGACACAATTTGGCAAATGTTTTTGGTATATATCTTATATCACTGTTATAGAATGCATATTGCGGCTTCGGAAGACTTAAATATCAAAATTAAATGAAACGTATGCATTGGAGCTATAGCTATATCTGAATCAATATTCACCAATTCCGTCAACGTGCTATTAGAATAAATCCGATATCTCCCATTTTCTGCACAATATTCAAGAAATCTGCTGAATATAAATATTGGAGATATATCAATATCTTAATCGATTATCATCAACCTAGTTTGTCAATATGCTAAACAAATCACAAGTGCAAAATTTTATCTCAATTGTATAAAAAATGCGACCTGTACATTGTACATTAAATGGACAAACGGGCGGACAGATTGGCCATCATACATAAATCGACTCAAAATATGATTATATGGAGCTCACCAAAAGGAATAAAATACACAAAGAAGTAATACCCTGTACCACAAAAGTTAAGGCAAATACTTTGATAGTTTTATTTTCTGTTTTGCACTACTACTGGTCTTGTGTTTTGTTATATTGTGGTTTATCCTATAAAATGTATAGTAAGTAGATTATAAATACATTAATCTCAATTCCAGTTCATTGTTTTCTGTTGGGTTACATCTTCGTAAGCGGATTAATTTAAATGCATCCGCATTAAAATGCGTTTGTCGGCCGCCAGCCTTTTCTCACCAGTCATCATCATTAACAACCTCATTAAATGCACAATTGTTGAACGTAGGTTTTCCGCAATTCTTGTTACATATGCTGTTGCACCGATAAGAAATATTAGTAGTCTGTGAGACGCTAAAGAAGAAGCAGCAATGTCTCATTAACTAAATTAGTTGTTTATTTTATGTTTGTTCTGGAACCAAATAAAATAAATACGTGTGGGCATAACAAGACACTGAAATAATTGATACCAGTGAAAAGTTGTTAGAAAATAGGTTACAAAAGAAAGTGTTCCGATTATTTTTATTTAAATAGACATCAGAATGATAAATTTTTATGCCATTATAAGGAAAACATTCATTCTAATGTCAAAATTTGTTGCTGCAATTTTAAATGTTTTATACATTTCATCAAATACGCAAGTTACCCCGCTTACACTTGTAAGTGGATCATTTCAAACTCTAATTAAATTAATTCCAAATATCTACGCGTTATCCTTGATTCAAAGCTGTATTTTTTAGAAAGCGGTCATCGAAATAACAGATTTAGATCCTAATTCTCTTTGGTAAAAAAATTCCGAAGTTTCTACCCCGCAATATTTCTATCAAGCTTATATCTGGTTTGGGAAATATTTGAAATCATTTATAAAGGGTGAGATGCTGTCATTCTCATGCCACTTGTGCAACAGCTGTTAAAATTATTCCAGTGACAGCTCATTATATTGTTTACAAGCGTACAAAAACATTTTGGTGAGAATTTTCCAGAAAAAAAGTTATTCGGGTTTGGAAATCAAGCGTAATAGTGTGATTTCTTTATATTTGGCTGGAAAATCACAAGTGGCTATCGTTAAAGCACTCCAGCATTTAAATATGAATAAATCTTTTGTGTCTCATACCATCCCTCGTTACCGTGCCGTGATACTGGTAGCGTAGCCCGACGACAAGGAAGTGGACAAAGAAAACAGCAACATCAGCATAAATGGTTCGAAAAGTAAAGAAGCGACTTGATCGAAACCCACGTCTCGGTGGCCGAAAAATGGCTAGTGAGCTAAACATATCGCAATATTCCATTCGGCAAATATTGAAAAATGTGCTCAGGGTAAAGCCATTGAAATTCCAAAAAGTGCAAGAATTTACACCGCCACAGAAAGAAAATAGACTCAAAAGAACTAAATAGTTGCTTTGCTTGAACGAAAGTGGTGAGCTGCCGAATTTGGTTTGTTTCCGATGAGAAAACATTCGTTGTCTAGCAGTTTGTAAAAAAACAAAATGATCGTGTTTACTTGCCAAAGAGGTCAGCTGAAAGTGTGCACCTTCGGTTGGCAACCAGAACTCAAGCGCCGGCCATGGTGATGGTGGGGACCGTCATAACAGCCGATTGTCGCTCTCCGCTCATATTAATCGACCGTGGCATCAGAATAAATGCCGAATATTATGGCAAAAAGATTCTGGAGGGCGTATTAAAGCCTTGAACACGCAAACATTGTGACCGCAGACCTTGGACATTCCAACAGGACTCAGCACCATTGCACCCGGCACGCGCCACACAAGAATGGTTACAAAATAAGGCTCTTCGCTTCATTTGGCCGGCCAAATAAATCCTATAAATAAATCCCCAGTTCCCCCTCAGATGTGGAAAGGGACAATATCGGCCCGCTTCTTCCAGTACCACAAAAGGTTCACAATTTTAGAAAATCATATCTCTTATAAAATATGAAAAAGAGCCAAACTGTCTTCAAATTTTGTAGATTCCAATATTTCTGCCTACAAAATCTCGGATATGAAGATAGAATAGAACAGACCACTCCAGCTGGTACCTTCTTAAAAAATGTAGATAAAATCATAAAAATAGCAAATATCGGGATGTATCGTTACATGGGGGCTATACGAAGACGTGCACCTAAACAGAAAATAATCTGTCTTAGGCTCTAGTATCCATTACGAACTTCAAATACCAAATTTGAAACAATTCCGGTGAAAAATGTCACTAAAATCATTAAAATACCGAATATCGGAAGGTACCGTTATATGGGGGCTATACGAAGACGTGGACCTGCACAGACAATTTTCTGTCTTAGGCTGTTGTATCCATTACGAACTTTAAATACCAAATTTGAAACAATTCCGGTGAATGATGTCGCTAAAATCATCAAAATACCGAATATCGGGAGATACCGTTATATGGGGACTATACCAAAATGTGGACCTTCATAGCCCATTTTCAATACCAAAAGTCCAGCAGACATAACATACATTTGAGTAAAATTTTATCAATCTACTTCAATTCGTTCGGAAGCTGGATTGATTTCCACAGACGGACTGAAGGGCGGACATCGCTAAATCGACATAGAATTTTATGCTGATCAAGAACATATTTATTTTGTGGGGTCTAAAATGTGTATTTTGAGGTGTTACAAACGGAATGACAAACTTAATATACCCTCCATACTATGGTGGAGGGTATAAAAACAGGCTAAATTAGCAATTACGGAATGTGTCTATTGGCCTCGATGTCCCTTAATTTCATTACTTTATGTAAAGTAGGCTCATTTATCTTCAAAATTGGTTGGATTGCTGTTACTCTTTCTCTATCGCAGTCCGCTGGTCATTACAATTTAATACCCATTCAAATGTATGCTATTTTATCATTTATAAAATGAGTCGTACTGCTATTGCATTGTGAATCAAAATCCATACTAGAATTAAAGAACAAAACAAAATATAATCTAATGTATCCATCGCACTTGTATCTGAATCGGATGTCGATACATTTTGAACCCATTCAACCTTCGCTTACAATGTTGGTAGATTTCGGGCCCTTCCAACATCCGCTTACATTGTCGGCAGATTTCGGTCTAGTCTGACGGCCTAGGTCATCGCTGTGTAAATGTAAGTAGAAATTGCATACAGGTTTTGCATGAGTTGCACCTACATTGTCAGTGGTCTCAGTTGCAAGATGTATGTACAAAAAAAAAAATCCGCTAGGTAGAATAACAAAGCAAATATGGTTTGTGTCTATACTAATTTAAAATTTATCTTCACGCAACGACGAATTATCAACTAACTTTCACAAAAAAAAAAAAAAAAAAATTTACAAAACTATATGGTTTTTCATTTTATTGTATTGCTTATAAATAAAAGTGCACCTATTTAAAACCAGAACGTAAATCTATTTCAAGAGGACCAATGGTAGTTGTTGTCGTCGTTGTGGATGACGTTGTAGGAGCTGTAGTTGATGGTTCCGTTGTGGTCGAGGAAGCACTTAACGTTGGAAGAGGCACTGATGTGGTCTTAGGAACATTTGGAATCTGTGATATTACATCTCTATTACCAGGGGCAGGGATAAAAGGTGTCCAAGAGTTTGATGGAGGCTGTTCGTGCCAAGGGTTTATAAAACTGTTATCCGTTACCGGAGGTGGTGGAAATCGTGGAGGAATGTCTAAAAAAATAAGAAAATATTTTGAAATTCGTCATTAAAGTCAAAAAATTAAAAAAAAAAAATAATACTTACGTCCTGGAAATGGCGGACGTCCGCCATAACCTCCTTGTACGGATGGTCTTCCATATCCAGTACTCACATGCGGTGAACCACCATGTACCCCAAATTGTGGATTTCTTTCATGACTGCCACCATAAACTGGATGTGGTATGTGTTTTGGCGGATAACTGTCGTGGAAATGATGATCATGGTAATCATGATTATGTCCATAAAATGAATCGTCGTCGTCTTCACCATCATCATAATCCGAGTCAGAATCGAAATGACTATATGGCTTATGTCGTCCATAACGCACATGACGATATTCATTTTCGTGATATGGCCAAAAATTCGAATAACTTGTAGCTCCTTCGGGTTTTAGATCGTGTTCTGGATTCGATCTGGAAAGTAGACATTATCAATTATGACGGTATTTGGCAAAGAAATGTTTTAAAAAGAGTAGTATTATGAGTAAATTTGGATATGTTTGTCGTTGAGGCTTCTTGAGGCAAAGTCCATGTCTGCAACTTTAAGAAATTGAAATTTCTTCGAAATCTTGGTATTTCAAATGTAAGGGAGGCACAACGTAAAAGCTCTATATCTGATTTTATATATTCAAATCTCACAAAATGTTGTTAAAAAAATCCTTCTTATCTTTACGGGTCCCTCATGGTGTTATCCAACAACCAACCCTATGACAATCTAGTATAAAAATATTTTTGGCAAGTTTACATATTATTACTTTATCACAAATAGAAATATTTTATTTTAGAAATTGTACACATCTTTCCAAATTCCTTAGAATTTGTGTTACACAATTCTCATGTTTCATCGCCAACACCCACAATTATTTAGAGATTAGTACTGAGTAAAAACCCCGGTGTCCAATTAAAAATAGAACACCCATCACATCTGTCAAAGTAATATTTTTTTCTTGTTCTACTTTTTCTGTCAGTCTGTCAATATTGTATTAAATTCTGCTCGGACTTCCCACTAACGTAGACACTTTTGACATTGCCGAGGGCTTAAGAAATTTATTAATATAAATATGTTTCCATTGCTCAAAATCTTGGAAATAAATATATATTTTTATTTTTTGAATGAATTCTTAAAGTAAATATGTCAAATGTGTTTTCCTGTCATACATATTTATGAATCTCCATTAAACAATCACTGACAGTTAATTGGTATTTGTTCCAATAACATTAGTCATTTTCATTTGCAGTGGCACAATTTATGCGTAGAGTAAAAACAGGCTTTAGTGTACAGGTGAATATTTTAGTAAGGATAGAAAAGTCCATAACATTTCTACCAGTCTGCTCATGGTATAATTACTACAGGTAGAAGCAAACCCCAATTCTTTATATATAATATGTATAATTCTTTTTTATATAATGTTTCACTGCAGGACAATGTGGACATTATGTATCTGATCCCATTTCCATCAAATAATTTGGTCGTATATGCAAAATGCCATGCTATTTGACCTGATATTACACGTTTGGTGCACAATAAAAGGTAAATCGGACGAAGATAAATATGGGGGCAATATATAAATTTTGACCGATAATCTCCAATTTAAATAGGGTTCGTCCTTGGGTCAAACAAATTTCATATGGATCGGGCAATAAATGCATGGACAGACGGATGAACATGCATAAATCTCAGAATGTGATTATCTCAAAAGGAACTATGGGTCTATATCGTTTCCTTTTGCCTGTTACAAACAAATGCACAAAGATATAATACCCTGACCACCTTGTGGTGTAAAGTATAACAAGTAAAAAACATTAAGTTCGGCCGGACCGAACTTTTAATAAAGGAAACATTATAACCCATTATGACCCACAAATACCGAATATAGGGAGGTACCGTTATATGACGGCTATACCAAAGCGTACAATGTACAATACATACAATGTTTCGCCACACGAGCTGGAACCCATTACGACCTACAAAACCAATTTTTAGACAAATCCGTAAAAAAATGTGGCAAAAATCATCAAAATACCGAATATCGAGAGGAACCGTTATATGGGGACTATACCAAAACTTGGACCGATATATCTCATTTTCAATATCAACCATCCTAGACACAATACAAATTGTTCTGCTAAATTTTGACGCTCTACGTCAAATAATGTGGGCTGTATGGTGATTTCAACAAACAGACAGACGGACATCGTTAATTCGACTTAGAATTTTATGCTGATTATGAATATATATAGACCGCATAAAGGGTCTACGACGAATATTTAGGGATGTTACAAACGGAATGACGAAGTTCATGAAACCTCCATTCCAAGGTGGAGGGTATAAAAACAGTATAAGCAAGGTCCTGTGGATTTTGTGTACAAAAGCAACAACACTATCATATGCTCTGTTGGTACAAATGAGCAACAATGCTTCTCAATGCGTATTGCTGCTGTGGCTTGAGAGAATAGCCATGCATAGAAGTACTACAACTAAAAGAGTACTTGGCAGTAGCAGCATCAGCTTGTTACGAACAAATTTTGCTCCCACTTTAAAACGAGCAAAGTATACTCGCCCTAATTAGAGCGGAGCCAAAGAAATAAGTTTTGCTCTTTTTTGTTTTGTTTTTTTCTACTTCAAATTACTTAATTACTTAAATTCTTTACTTGCTTCTATCCCGTCGAAAGGGAGTTGTTAACAATATTTTAAAAGAAAAAGACCACTATGGTGTACCGCTCGAGCACTTTATACCCAAAATGCAAGGATTTCGAGGAATCTTACTTCGGAAATTTAGCAAGTAAAAAAGCTGTAAGTTCGCCCGGCCGAACTTTGAATACCCTCCACCATTTGGAATGAATTTGGCAATTCTCAAAAACAATAAAATCCTTTGAAAATTCCGTTAAAATCTTAAAAATACCGAATGTAGCTGTTATATTAGTCTATACGACGACATGCACCTGTATAGGTAACTTGTAAATCATCAAAATACCGAATATCGGGAGGTAACGTTATATGGGGGTTATACGAAGACACGGACCTGCAAAGACAATTTTCTGTCTTAGGCTGTAGTATATATTTCGAACTTCAAATACCAAATTTGAAACAATCCCGATGAATAATGTCGCTAAAATCTAAAAAATTCCGGTTAAAAATGTCGGCAAAATCATCAAAATACCGAATATCGGGAGGTACCGTTATACGGGGGTTATACGAAGACACGGACCTGCAAAGACAATTTTCTGTCTTAGGCTGTAGTATATATTTCGAACTTCAAATACCAATTTTGAAACAATCCCGATGAATAATGTCGCTAAAATCATCAAAATACCGAATATCGCGAGGTACCGTTATAAGGGGGCTATAACGTTTCGGTATAGCCCCCTTATAACGATGGACCTACATGATCCATTTTCAATACCAAAAGTCATGCAGACATAATATACATTTGAGTAAAATTTTTTCAATCTTCTTCAGTGCGTTCGGAAGCTAGAGTGATTTCCACAGACGGACAGACGGATGAACATCGCAAAATCGACATAGAATGTTATGCTGATCAAGAATATATGTACTTTGTGGGATCTAAAATGTATATTTCGAGGTGTTAAAAACGGAATGACAAACGCTTCACCCGGCCATGTGACATATAAATTAATTATTTTTATTCTTTTCCTATAATTTTTTCATCAATGTCTGCAGTCCATATATATTTGCCTTACATATAACGGTAATCAAATGTAAACAAAATAAGCTAATAATAAATTCACTAATTTTTTTGCAATTATTTTCCAAACTTATCATAATGACAACGTATTTTGGCGATTCGTTTATATTTAACGTTAACTTACTTGCTGTCGAATAAAGATTTCCCATAAACGCTGACAGAATGTATGCATACCATACATAAAAACTAAAATGAAAACAATAACAACAACAACACCATCATTAATAATTGTATTAATTAACATAATTAAATTTGCTGAAACACATTGACTTCAGTAGAAACAAAAACAAATTAAGCGTTACATTTCGGATGGTCTTTAAATTGGTTATTTGTTTTTGTTTTTATTTATTGGAGCCGAGGGATTTCCTTCAAAGCTGTTGATTCATTCAATTTTTGGGTTTTTTGATCAAAATTTAAAGTTGGACTTTGTTTTTCCAACCTCGGTGTGGAATATCTTGCAGCAAGTTTGTGTCTTAAATCTTTTGTTTTCCAGAGGATTGACCAATAATCGTATTTTTTCACCATTCGCATCTAATTACCGTTATTAATAAATTCTTATTCATTTTTTATTTAGTGCGCAGCACAAGCAGCGTTTTAAAATAATTATGAGATTTATGTTAGCGAGTTTTTGTTTTTATTGTTTGCACGTTTTATACTCCAAAACAGTTTTGGTATTTTTAGTTAAATTTTTTCACTGTTCTGGTTGAGTGTTTCTTTTGTTCACTCGATTTTAAGATGCTGTTCGCAGGCGTTCGTTCGCTCCCGTTTATTGCTCTTTATCGACTAAAGATTTTTTCATTATTTTTAGGTTTTAACTAAAATTTTTGTCTTCTACTTTTCATCATAATCATCATCATCGGCATCAGCAGCATCTCATTGTGTAAGTAAGTGACGGGTTTTCTGTGACTTTTTTCTTCTTACTGATAGTGACTGTTCATTTTTCAGCCTTTTGTTGTTGTTGCTGTTGTTTTTTTTTCTTTATAACAATTTATTGTTTGGTTGTATGTTAATTTAAAAACTGCCAGACAGTGAATGAATGAACTTGAATTGAAATGAAGATGATACTAAACAATTTATAAACATAACTACAGAAAAAAAAACACACACAGCGAGAGACAAACAAACGTACCTACCAACAAAGGTATTTTGTGTACATTTTTAATGCATATTATTAAATATTTATTATCAAGAGATTGTATACAACAGGTGATTCCCGAGAGTAAATTCAATATTGTGTCTTTGTTGTTGGTAATTAATTGATATCGATAAATAATAGTATTTCTTTTGATTTTTTTCTAATTTAAAATACCTGCTTTTTTGGAGGAAGTAAAAAATTGTAGATGATATCCCCCTACCCAATTTCTACATTTGTTGCCTTCTCCCCCAAAATTTTGGTATTGGTAGACTAGTGTAAAATAATTGAGCATTCGCGTTATATTTACATTTTCTCAAAAATTGTTTATTAATCATTCATAAGAATTTTCGAACGGAACAAAGGAATATACGTTTTTGTTCCAATTGATTTTCTCAGAAATGTAAACCAAAACGGAAGCCAAGAAGCCGTTGCTTTGTGTTCAATATTTATTATTGAGAAACTCGCTTAATCAAAACCAGTATTTTTAAATCGGGCGAAATATGAAGTGATCTTTTCGAACTTGGTTAACTACACATACAGGGTGAGATAAAAAAAAACTGCAACAAAGTCAAACACCATAGTTTTCACATTTTTTATTACTTTTATTAAATGAAAGCAAAAAATGTCGGACATAGCATCAAATTTTAGAATAAGTTAAAATTTGTTCGATTTGGTCACCTTTGGCACGAATTAAGGCCTTCAAACGGCCAATGAAACCGTCACACGCTGCCCGAATGTTGCTCTGCGGTATTTTGGATTGGTATCCGGAGGTTTTGGTGGTCATTGTGCGCTGGAAATAAAGCGAGGAACCACATTTGTAACCATTATTGGGAGGCGCGTGCTGAGTGCGATGGTGTTGTGTCCTGTTAGAACGTCCAAGGTCTGCGGCCAAAATGTTTGCGTGCCCATCGCTTTAATACACCCTCCAGAATATTTTCGCGATAATATTCGGCATTTATTCTTATGCCATTGTCGATTTATACGAGCGGAGAGCGACCATCGGCTGTTATGGCGGCCCACACCATCACCATGGCCGCCGCTTGAGTTCTGGTGGCCAACCGAAGGTGCACGTTTTCAGCTGACTTCTTTGCCAAATAAACACGATCATTTTGTTTGTTTACAAACTGCTGGACAACGAATGTTTTCTCATCGGAGAAAACCAAATTCAACGGTTCACCACTTTCGGCCAAGCGAAGCAACTCTTTAGCTCTTTTGAGTCTATTTTATTTCTGTTGCGGTGCACTTTTTGGAATTTCAATAGATTTACCCTGAGATCATTTTCCAATATTTGCCGAATGGAATATTGTGATAGGTTCAGCTCACGAGCCATTTTTCGGCCCCTGCGACGTGGGTTTCGATCAAGTCGCTTCTTCACTTTTCGAACCATTTCTGCTGATGTTGCTGTTTTCTTCCGTCCACTTCCTTGACGTCGAGCTACGCTACCAGTATCATGGCACGGTAACGAGCGATGGTACGAGACACAAAAGATTTATTCATATTTAAATGCTGGAGAACTCTAACGATAGCCACGCTTGAATTTTATCACGAATAACTTTTTTTCTGGAAAATTCTTACTCGAATAATGGCTTAGAAATTACAGCAGTCTGAGGTTGTTTGCAGTTTTTTTTTATCTCACCCTATATATAATTTATATTTATATAATTTGATACGGCCTCGTGCTTTTTCGAAATAACGGTTTAAGAACCTATGACTCTTTAGTTCAAATCCGTTTCAGCACATTTGAATTCGATCTAGGGGTGTCCGTCCGTCTGTCGATAACTCTCGAATGGAATATCCGATTTCGTCCAAACTTGGTACATCGTAATATTGTTATCAAACTGATACCGAGGTCGGAGATGGGCAATATCGGTCCACCCCTTCTAATATCTTCCCCACAAATGCCAAAACTTTCAAAGAAAATAATTTACTTCATAGAACATCATCTCAAAAATCATCTAATTTTGTGCAAACTTTGCAAATCCTAATATTGGTAAATATGGAAAATATTGGCCCTCTCCATGAAGTACCTCTCCCAAAAATTGTCAATATTTGGATTGATTTTAACTCTACATAAAATGTGAAATAAGAGTCCGATTGTCAAATCTCAATATTACGGCCAACAAAATATCTGGTATGAAGAATGGACTTGTCCATCTGATGCCTACCCCACAATGAGTCAAAATTTTGAATAACTATGAAGCTTATAAAACCCTAAATAAGCACAATTTTCAATATTTATATCTCTTATTACTTGCGAAATTTGTCAACGATTCTTTTCAAAATTGGTATATTTAGATATTTCTCTCCACCAGAGATCTGTAATGGCTACTTTTTTTAATTACAGGCAAAAATTGATAAAATTAAAATGCGCATAATTTCGGTAATTAACGAAAATTATAAAGTGTATATATTCCTGTTACACTTAAAAATGTAGACTTGTCCGTTTTGTCATCATGTAACTTTCACCGAAGAGAACTAAAATTGTTTCCATAAACGTATCTTGTTTGCAAGATTTATTGTTTTTTTTTTATTTGAAAATGTTGTGTTTTTTATGCCAAGAAGTCTCTGTTGTGCTCAGCGCCTGTACATATTTTTTATAACGCATTTTGTTTTACGTTAGGTATTCGGTTAGGATATCAAAATTTTGAATAGACGGCACATTTAAAACATATATTCTCACAGATAAAACATTTGTTTCATCAGAATGATCACAAACAATATAATATGTGGTTCTCATTGGTGCAGGCAACACACATTTCCCTATCAATATTCCAAAAAATACCAAAGTACTAGAGAAAAATATTTAAGTCGGGTATATTCACAAAAATTTGCTGTATGGTTCCCATTAATCACCTGATGAACGATTAAACTTTCAACACTGAATTTGAAACCAGTTTTTAAAAAAATAACAACTTAACTTACTTAAAGTATTAAGTTCAGTTATTCGAAAAAAGGACAATGACTTTCGGGGCGTGACGCATTTTATTCTCATTTTGTTATATTTCCTTGTCATGTTTTACAGTTGGCTGTAGCAAATCTTGGATACAGCCAAACTCCTTTCCTCAAAACTCAAGCAATGAAGATTCCTTAAAAATTTGATTTCAGAGACCAAACCAAAATTTTATAATTTTTTATAAATGTCGTTTATATTAATATTGAACAAATAAACAGTGAAAGCAAAACAAACATTAAAAATACGTTTACCTTATTTGGGTTCGATTTAATAAACACCCGTTATTCTTAATGAATTATTGCCATCGTGTGACAATTTTAAATAATTCGCTTTCATTCAAGTCGTATTCAAAAATAATTGAGAGTAACAAGATCACGATTATGTAAATAAAGCCTAATTGAATTTGACATAAATCACCCTAACAAATCCATTAGAAAGTTCAAAATTAGAACATCTGATAAGGAATTTCGACCATTATTGATGCCTTGAAGACTGCGAAGATATTGAAAACAAAATATATTTCTTTGTTTTGACCAATTTGCTAAAAAACAAACACAACAAATGATTTTCTCCTTTCAAAGAAACTAACGAAACAAAAGCATAAAACCGCCAGCGACAAAAAAAGTGTCATTAATAACAAGTTTATGGGCGATACCTTCAGAAACGTGTGCAGTTTTAATAATGAGATTACGAGTAAATCTTTATTCCATTGTAAAGTGACAAACGTAGGTAGATGACTTGGCACCATCCCCACAAATGAAACTGACTGGCATGTTCACGTTTTTTCTTCTTTTGTTGTTGTTGTTCCATGCGTAATTTGTTAGACAATATCGCTTTTGTTTAATGAATTATATTGGCGGTTGCGAATAATAACATTGATCTTGAATTTCTGCCACATTGATCGACGACACGGCCGATTGTTACAAATAATTTTCGTATGTTTATATTTTTTACCAGGAAACGCTTGTTTTTGTTACAAATTTACAGAGTTCTTTTCAAATTTTACTGTTTCCGTATTAGGATTAGTATGTTTGGAATGTAAATATTGAGTTGATACATCATACAATATTGGATGACAGCCTTCCATTCCAAAAATTTTAACAATTAAAAAAGGCATCTTTAACTTTTAATAATATTGATATTATTTCTATTGCTCCTTAATTCCTAATAATTTTTTCACTAGCCAAATAATTGTTTTTTTAACGGATATTATTTTCTTTTCTTCTATTTTTTCGGATACGCTTTTTTAATTAAATTTCATCAGCAAAGGTAGAGATCAAGGTGTATTTACAAAGTGAAACAGAAAGGCTATCTTTAGTCTTTATTGCTGTCAAACAAAACTTGTAAAATTTGTGAAATTTTGTTTTGTTTTCCTTCGCAGTGGAAGAATATCAAGACTTTGTAGAATGCTTCCTGAGAACTGCGACAAGTTGCCTCCTCTATTTTTTATTTTTAATATAAACAGTTACCAAGCCCTATTCATAGATGTCTAAAATTATAACATTTAATTTAACCTTAAACATGTTACTTAAACATTAACACAAATGAACAAAAGAAGATTGTCAAAAATAGAATTAATGAAATGAGGAGGCGAAGGTTCTTCCCGTACGTAAGTATAATCATATAGCAGTTACTGCTTGGGTGCTATCCAAACCATGATATGGTGTGTAAACCTACAACTTTTTTTAAGATTTTGTGGCATAGCCGTTATTGGAGTTTGTCAACATCTAACATTTTAGCTTTCCATATGAAACTTGGCAACCTTGGCAAATTGTCTCGAGGACTTCACAATGATAGACATTATAGGGCTGTTCCAGAACCTGCAAGAATCTCCTAGTTTTGCAATTTTTTCGATATCTTTAAGTGGAAAAAACTTTTCAAACTATGAATCTTATAATTATTTTCAGAAGTATCTAAAAACATTGTTTAAGACCTTGAAAACACCCTTAACCGAAAATATTTCTCCATATTAATCTTCTAGTTACAACTATTTATAGTATTTATTTAAAAATTAAAAAAAAACTTACAAGAGTGCTCTACAAATACAATTAGTTTATGTTACAATTATTATTTTTCCACTTCTTCAGTCGAAGTTTCCATCAATTGTTTCTTATATTCGTCATATTGTTCCTGTGTCATAAGGCTTGCCTTAATATCTTCACAATGTTCGGGTTTTGGCAGTACAATAGCTATATAATTTGCTCCCTCCTCAGCTGTGAGTAAACTTTCAGGATTTTCGGAATATGTTGTGTTCACTTCAACAAGTTTGCTACGGACACAACTTGGAATTTTATAAACTTCTCCAGATTTTGTGGTCAACAAAGCCAATGTTGAATCATGTTGCAACACCATACCACCCTTTTTTCCTTTTCCCTTTACTGTGTTTTTTGCTCTATCCGTTTGTCCTATATCAAAATTTAGACTAGCAATTCCATTGCTATATGCAGGATGTTCCGGTGCCAGGGATATCAAACAAATACGATTTGAGTGAAACAGTACTTGATATGGTGACTTATCACTGCCGCTCTTCTTTATGTAATAGTAACGTGTAAAGAAACGATCTACCACAGAGGGATAGTTGTCGACATATTCATCGATAATAGCTGTAACTTCTTGGCCACAAATTGTCTGTGGTTCATGCTGAAAGTAATACTCGGCCAAAGGATCAATTTGCATGATGCTAGTTTCGTTATGCCTCTTCGTTGAGTCTACGTTTTAGTTCTGCTTGTCTTTCACGTGCTTTGGCTCTGTTAGCAGCTGAACGAGCGATACGTTCCTGTTTCAAACACTTTACAACAGCGCTGTCAAATGAATTACAATATCCCACAAATTTTCCCAACTTGTGCTGAAAAGATTTAATGGGAATTGGGAATTAATGCAATATGTTATATAAACATAAAAGACTGAAGTAAAATTTATCCATGAACAAGTCTACACAAGTTTTGTTTACTTACATCTTCGTGACACTTTTTTAACGCTTCAATCAGTTCATTACAATGCGGTGTGTGAAGATGGGGTGATAAATCTGTGTGCATTTTTATTTAGAACCACACCAGGATAATTATGCCCTTTTACCGGTAGTTACGAAGTTGAAAATATAGACAATTTTATGTTTCCACTTGAAAAATGCTGCTTCTATCGTTTGTCAAAACGTGCCAATAACACCGAAATGTTAGCATTGCTCAGCTGGTCAATGGCAAAGTGGTTAGTGCCTGACGTAACGTAAGGCAGCGTTTGTTTCACTCAGACAGCGCGTAATCGCCTTATATCACAACAACATAAATCAATTACTTTCTGGTTTTCTTATAAAAAATTAAGATAAAGAAAGGCGAAATGATGCTTTATGGACAGACCAAACAAAAGAGCCAACGGGATGCCAATTTTGTAGGTGAAATACATTATTTGTGTTTAAAATTTCAAAAATAAAGAATCTTTTACAGATGTAACAAATTAGAAGAAGCCGGCAATAAATAATCGTACAACGATATTTTATTACAAAAATTGCAAAATAAAAATATAAAAAATTAGAAAAAAATTAAATTCAAAGTTAAACTGCCGTTATTTACTAATAAACGCCAATATTAAATTATTTAGAATTTAAATGTCCGTTATATAATAATCGCTCTGTGAATAAGTAACCAGTAACCTATGCTTTTACACGTGCTGGCGTAAAGAAAAAAACAAATTAAAAACAGCTGACACAAAACGTGTTTCAAAACAATTGAACACTTTAGTATTTAAAATTTTTTATAATTAACAAAATGTCTGCAAGCAAACGTAAAAATCTTAATGCCATGGAAGAAGATCCCAGTGACTCGGATTCGGAAACATCCAGTGACGATGATGAAGACGATGGTCCACATCCAGATGCTTATACTGGAAATGAGGTTTGTTTATTTAGTGCTATTTAAAAACATTAACTTACAAATTCTCTCAATGTCAAGGAAGTTCAAATAGATTTTGAAGGGCGGGCGCCTGTTGATCCTGATTGCCATGGCATATCACAGCTCCTGCAAAGAGTTTTTCTTAAGGCTCATATTAACACCATGCAAATGGCTGATATGATAATTGGTAAGTAGAATCAAAAACTTTTTTAGTGCAATGGTTTAACCACAATATTTTGCCCTTTTGACTTCAGCTCAAAACTTTGTTGGTAGCGTTATTTGTCAATGCGACGATGGCATGGAAAGTGATGCCGACGATATGTGCGAAGATGGTACCATATTTGGAATTACAACCGTTCTAAATATCACTGCCAAGAAAAACTCTCCCTGTATTGATCAGTTTCGTTCATTTGTTGTTCAAAAGGCAGAAAAACATGCCCCAGATTCGGTGCTTAAACATTTCCGTGATGTTTTGGGCAATGAGGCTAGACCCATTGGATACTTGATAAACGAACGTTTCATAAATATTCCCTCACAAATATCAGTGCCATTATTGGAAAATCTATATAAGGAAATTAATGCAGCCAAACAGAAAGGAATGCCATTCAATTTTGTCTATTTTCTAATGATCATCAAATTCTATCGTAAGGAGGCGAAAAAAGGCAAACCAAAAGAAGATACCTACACAAATGCTGAAGAAGAACTCATAGCTACAAATGCTGTGAATTCATTTGAATATTCCGTGGCGGATGAATGCGATATGGGAATGTCAGGTGATTGGTTGGAAGGTGATGCAAATCTGACACCATATCGGAAAGTTGTATTATTCGATGCAAAGAATTTGCCCCAGCTAATACTGGATATTCAAAAATATATTAATGGTGAATAAAATTTATTGATAACACGAAGCGAAATTACATTTGATATTTATACACGAAATGGAGATAAAGTATGTATTTTTTAATATTTTAAGACTAAAAATAAAGTGAAATGACTATAAGAACCCACATATGAAATCAACCACTATTCTTCGACCAATACAAGTTTTTAATTATATATTATGGTCATGATATTATGTATTATTACAGATTACACTTTAGAATATCCAGTAAAAAGGTCGCAGCTGGGTTACTTTTTATTTACTGTGGTGGAAATATATGAATCTGTTTACAAAAATCAGGAATTATTGTTGTTATCAATATCGTCGAAATGTAATCTTTGTTGTGCTTTTTGTCGGACTTTTAGTACCATCCACGATTAGGAAAATAACACTTTTAAATAAAAGTATCTGGATTCAAACGTGTTGAAGAATGCTGTTAAAGTTTAAAAATTAATTAATTTATTAATATATATAATATTTTCTAATATATAGATCACACTGATGACATTTTCCTCCTTTTTGCTGGTAATCGTGGGTCATCTTCTGGATTTGAAAATCGCATTAATACGTACGTACCTTTGCCAGTTTTCATATTAGTCATCCACGAATTTACTAACGATAAATCCCACCAAAACTAAAGCCATGATGTTTGAAGCATTTAAAAATCTGTTTTCCGCTATTAATATAAAATTGCTCAATAACGATGTGAAATTTGTTTCCCATCATAAATGTTTAGGAGTGGTAATTGATAACGAAATGTCTTTTAAGAATCATATTGACATCATATCGGGAAAGGTGTGGTCTTCTTTACGACGATTTTATGCATGTAACCTATAATTACCTTGGAAGAGTTGGCACATACTCTGCTAATGTCTACAATATTACATGGCATTAAGGTAGTGTACCCGGTGCTTCTGATATTCACCTTCTCCACTTGCGTAGAATCGTAAATTCTGTTAGTCTATAATGTCCGTGAAAGAGAATATATATCCGAAAATGTAAAACGGTTAATCGGATGTTTATTTAATGACTTACATAGTTACCTGTCGTAATGTCGGATCCCTTTTTCATATTATAGGCAGTGGTAAGCCATTTTCTTTCACGATGAGTTTTGCTTTTTCTCACTTAGCAAGAAACTCTCAAATTGTTATACCTAGGATCTATAGAAATGATTATGTAAGATCGTTTTTGGTACAGGTCCCAAGATGTTCGGAACACATTACCCTATGAATTAAGAGTTTTTTCACATTCAAATAGTGTTTCTCGATTAAAACAGCTTCAGCATCTTGTATCCTAATACATATATCAACGTTGTATAACTTAATTTTTTGCTATCTAATTTAGAAGTTATTGTTAAGATGGATATTAAACACCTTATATTACATTTTTTGTCGTTAGGGAGTCAATAAGTATGTACGCACGGATATGACATGCCATTGTACATTTATTCATTTCCATTTATTTTAACTGTTGTAACTCAGGTTTTTGAAAGCTATGTAATACTTATATACGGTCTGTTAGGCATTTTTATTACAAAATTGATTAATAAATAAATATAAGGATTGTTATCTATTTTGTCTTAAATACCAATTTCAAAACGCAGAAAAGTGTCACTAGGGTCATCGAAATACAGAATATCGGCGGATACCGTTGTATGGAAACCTTGGACGAATATAGATAAAGTTTCGACACCAGTTGTAGATTCAGGTATGATACCGAAATAAAATCCTATTCAAATCCGATAGAAAATATGGCTATTATATGGGTGTTATAGTAAAACGTGGACCTATATAGACAAAGCTCAGCCACATGAGGAAGAATCTCAATACAATTCCGTGGCAAAATGGGGTGAAAATCACCAAAATACCGAATATGGGAAGGTGGCGCTATAGGAAAACATGGACCGATATACCTCATTTTCAAAAGACTAATATCTTTGAATAGTCTTAGAATTTTATGCTGATCATGAATATGCATATATATCATATGGGGTCTACGATGTTTATTTAGGGGTGTTACAACAGAATGACAAATTTAATATACCCTCCTTTCCAAGGTGAAGTGTATAATAATATGAATTTTGTAACACTACAAACATTAACTTACTAAATGAATGTCAATGGCATGAATGTTTGTTGAAGAACCGAATGCCTAATGCATAAATATTTATGAACTGTTTCAAAACTATGTAGATAAGTCACATACATTTAACCTAATTTAAGCCACATCATCACAGACAAAAGAGAGAAATAAAAGCTATTAATATTGTTCCTGTCGGTAGGTTTTAGGTAGTTAGGAAAAATTTATGTATTGAGGTGAACTAATATTCTTAAATTAATGTCCACAAGGACAATACTTAATTCTGATCGGGGCTCAGATAAATTTTACGAATTTTTAAAGGAATTATGGAATATGGAAACGTAATTGTAATTAGGATATAAATGTCTTCACAATGATAACCATGTTGCGTTTGTCGGTTTGTACAGTGCCGTTATAAGAAGCAATAACTTTAGCTAGATAAGTTTATTTATGTGTACCGACAAAGACGTACCTTTGGAAACATTAAATATGCAAAAAATAATGCTTTAGAAAAAATTTAATTGAGGTCAGATTTTTGTTTTTAATTGAAATTGCCACGAAAAGTATACATACTTTTCGTGGCAATTTCAATTAAAATATCGTTTGTTTGTTAGCTACAATTAGTTTTTTTGTTATTACAATGTTGTTATAATTAATTTTCTTCGTGATTTTTAATATGAAATGCCGTCACACACATTGCTAGACTATTAAAATTACGGGTATTACCCGTCATTTGTACAGAAATTGTGGGGAATGCACCTTTGTTAGTTTGTAGATTATTATGATATTAAAATATTATTTTTATTACTATTACTTATTACTATTACTTATTATTATTATTATTATTATTATTATTATTATTATTATTATTATTATTATTATAATTATTATTATTATTATTATTATTATTATGCAATTAAACTATATTTCAAACACTAAAGCTAACGACCGGGTCAGCTAGAAACAAAATATATTTTGTTTTCATTTCTTATTTTAAAATAAAACGTACAAAAAATAGATTTTTGATATGTTTCAATTACATTATAAAATGGGACGTTAATGACTTTAACGTAACACATAGATATCAGTTAAAGTAAAGGAAAGGCTAGTAATTAACTATTTGTATAATTAGGAGATAAATAATGTGAAGTTGGTTTAATGCATGGTACAATGATATCAAGGTAGGGCTATGAAACCATATGATTTTAATTTTTTCATTTTCTTGGCTTAATATGTCATCTGTTTTGTTTATGCATGTGTTTTCTTTTCAATAACAAAAACATTTTTCAGAAAACATTCAAATTCGGGTGTTTTCAAAATGTTTATTTCAACGTATGCATCGACAAAATCTAGAGTTTTTGTAGCGAAATAATCCTTTAGAGATATATAGTACATGATTTTGAAAAGAAGTGTTGAACTTTCATTCAGTTATCGCGGTTTTCAATTATTTATTCAAAATAAATGCAACAAGTTGTTTGATTTTTTATAGTTTTGATACTAATTCTGACATTACAAGCCAAACAGGTAGACCTCTATACTTGGAATTTTTTCAAAGTTGACCTACCTTCTCTTCATTGTACCATGGTTTAATGTACTTCTTCAAACCGCTACACTTTGGCGTACTACATTTTTATTCATTTTTTTTTAGAAAATGTAAAAACTAATCTTAATTTATAAAAAATTCTTCACTACTTTAGTTATGCGTTATACGTCACATGCCGTCATTTAAGCTCATGCATTATAACATTTCATGTTACATCTTTTCTGCTAAATCAGCTGATTTTGTTTTTATCAGCCGGCAATTTTCGCGTTGTTTGTGAGTGTAGGCATTCATATAGAACGTGTTTGCCAAACAAACACTGAACAAAGGTATTAATAGCAAACGAAACTAACTTCTTTTCTCAACAAAGAAATTACTCACTGCCAGCCATTAGCATTGCATTACAATATTCTTATCAGCAACTTACAACTCTCCTAGTATAAAAAGGCAGAGTATTGGCCATTGTTTTGGAACACTTGGCATAGTTGGGCGATAAGCTACGATAACGTATTGAGAGTAGTTCTTCGTTCGTTCGGTTGGTTGATTATTTTGCTATCTGCCAAGTCAGCCGGCATACATATACAATCTATCTAAAGAAGGAGGTTCACCATCACATTGCAATTCTACTTCCAGTTGCCGTTGATATTAGATTCAATCAGTTACTTTCGAGTTGTTGGTTGGTTCAGATCGTTCTGCTGCTCATACAGTTTCGCGGTTGCATTGTGAAGATCAAGTGAAAATTCTTTAGCAAACAACATGGGAGGACTGGACAAGTAAGTATATACAAATTTACTGCTACCAAGTTTTATATAATTCGTAAACAAGAAAATGTATTCTCCCACTAACCCCATTTTTATTTTGTTGTGGTAACAAGTAACTCGCTAGTTGGCAGAAAAAATGCAAAAAGAAACAACAAAATTAAAAGCTTTGATTTCTAAATATAGATACAATTGTTGGACAAAACAAAATAATTTTTCTGTTATTGCATGAAATATTTTGTAATTAATGCTAGGCATAATATTAATATTAAATGACTTTTGAAAAATATATGTTGGTAAACCTAACATCATCACATTCCTATTATTTGTGAACAATGGGTATTTCCCGCATTTTTTTCGTGGAGAATTCGACAATGTCGGGCAGTACCCTGTAATTTGAACAGAACATATCAATGACAAATATATGAAAACAAACATAAAAAATACAAATATATACAACTCGGAGAAGTGACTCAAAAAGAAAAAAGCTCAGAATTGTCAGAAAAAGATTTTGGGAAATCTTGGTAGATTATTTTGCATATTTTTATTTTAGGGAGTTTCCGATTAAAGCAGAGAGAACATTTATTTTTCTATACCTTAATAATCAACTTCAAAATAATGATTTACTAAAAATTTTAAGGGAAAAATAAAAACAAATATAGCCTTGAACCAAATCTGCGAAAGGGACAGGGTCAAGTTTAAAAAGATCATATTGAAAATCCTAAACTGCATCCAAAATGTTGTAAACACCATTGATCTTTGATAGCAAAAGCCCTTAATATCTTTGTTACAGATCTGCAATTTTGTTTTTTTATTATTCCGAAGTCATGGCTGTTCAAAAAATCGTGAAATCCCTCAATTTCCAGATTGAAAATTAGATTGATTACGCGATCTTGTGAAGGGCGGGACTTCAGCTTAATGTAAGACTATATACGTGAAAAGCCCTTATTTAAGAATAACAAGTTAAATTAGGAGATTTAAGCCATGATGGATAGCCTTAAACTTAATTGAAGTCGGTGTTCGAATGTTTCGCTGAGGGAAATGTTTAAGATCCCAATAAATGTTAACCTTATTAGAACTATGCTTATAATATCGGTAATTAACGAAAATTTTCGGCAAGTTAGCGAGAAAAATAAAGTATTCGCTAAGTCCTACCGACAGCAACTCTAATTTAGACTTTTTATTATACCTGTGTCGATTTACCGATGTCCGTCCATCTGTCCGTCTGTGGAAATAACTCTAGCTTCGGAACGAAATGAAGTAGGTTGATAAACTCCTACTCAAATATATATTATGCAGGTATTGAAAATGGGCCATGTAGGTCCACGCCTTCATATAGCCCCCATAAAACGGCAGCTCCCGATATTCGGTATTTTGATGATTTTAGCGACTTTATCCACCGGAATTGTTTCAAATTTGGTATTTGAAGTTCCTTATGGATACTGCAGCATATGAAAGAAAATAGTTCGTGTAGGTCCACGCCTACGTGTTGCCTCCATATAACGGCACCTCCAGGTATTAGGTATGTTGATGCTTTTAGCGATATTATTCACCGATTTTTTTTCAAGTTTTGCATTTGAATATTGTAATGGTTTATGACAAAAATTACCTATGCCGGTCCAAGTCGTCGTATAGACTCTAATATGACGGCTACATTTGGTATTTTTAAGAATTTAACAGATTTTTTAACGGATATTATTTTTTTTTTGAAAATTGCTTAATTCGTTTCAAATGGTGGAGGGTATTCAAAGATCGGCACGGCCGAACTTACAGCTTTTTTACTTGTTATTTATAATTTTGTGAATTAATTTTACTGATGTTTGTCGGTAACTGAAAAAATAAGTTAGAGAATCCCACTACTAGACTGTTAGTTGCCACATTTTTTGTTGCAATCAATCCAGCAAGAAAATGAATATTGTTCAAAATGAAGTAGTGCTTTCCCTACATCTTGGACTGTTCATATTAAAAAAGCAATGATCTTCATATTTAAAATAACCAATAAATTGAACTTCTTATTATTATCACAAGGATTTTTTGAATAAATGTAAAGTCTACAGAAACTATAAAAGTTCAAAATTAATTTGAATTGAATTGTAAACTTCATGTTTTAAGAAGCAATTACACAAAGGTTATAGCATTACAGTAAAGTATCTATAATTTGAATTCCTTTGGCTAGAATGGACAAAATGCTCAAGATATTGACACAACTTAAAAATCATTCTAAATATCAAGGTTCGTTCTCTAATTGTCGATTAGTAGGGTTAATAAGTAATGAGTTTATTTCCAGTTAATAAGGAGATGTTGTGGTTATTGCATATATCAGAAACATGTCGAATAATTAAATGTCCATTAAAGTGCAAAAGCGTGCCGAATTAATTGGTCAAAGCGATTGTAAGTCATGTTTATATGTAAGTGTGGCTGTGGGCAATTTCGATTCATAAACATTTTATAGTATTTCTACATTGCTGCGTATCTGATTCAGTATGATTGTTTTCTTTACTCTTTTTCTTTATTCTTCTTTCTTTTTGCGAAAGTTCTTTTGAATAGCGCTGACTGAGTGGACAGTCAGTCGTCATATTTCCTTATTTAAAGTCAAGGTTAATTTTGTTTACATTTTGTAACTAGATGGGTGGCGACAATAACAACATCGATCTTATAGTAATAACTAAATATGGCAATAAAATAAATTAATGATCATAATAAAAATATGCAATTTAATCAATCAGTTGTCAGATCATATGAAAATTTTATATGCAACCATGGTACAATGAATTCAAGGTAGGGCAGAACTACCATATGATTTCAATTTTTTTATTTTTCTGGCTTAATATGTCAACTTCATTTGTTTATGTGTGCATATTCTTTTCAATAATAAAAAAATTGTTCAGAAAATATTCAAATTCGGGTGTTTTCAAAATGCTTATTGCATCATATGCATCGACAAAGTCTACAGTTTATGTCGCGAAATAAACCATAAGAGATATATAGAACATGATTTTGAAAAGAAATGTTGATCTTTCATTCAGTTTTCGCGGTTTTCAATTATTTGTTCAAAATTAATGCAACAAGTTGTTTGATTTTTTATTGTTTTGATACTAATTCTGACATTACAAGCCAAACAGGTAGACCTCTATACTTGCATTTTTTTTAAAGTTGACCTACCTTCTCTTCATTGTACCATGGTACCATGCATGGTACAATAAATTCAAGGTAGGGCAGAACTACCATATGATTTCAATTTTTTTATTTTTCTGGCTTAATATGTCAACTTCATTTGTTTATGTGTGCATATTCTTTTCAATAATAAAAAAATTGTTCAGAAAATATTCAAATTCGGGTGTTTTCAAAATGCTTATTGCATCATATGCATCGACAAAGTCTACAGTTTATGTCGCGAAATAAACCATAAGAGATATATAGAACATGATTTTGAAAAGAAATGTTGATCTTTCATTCAGTTTTCGCGGTTTTCAATTATTTGTTCAAAATTAATGCAACAAGTTGTTTGATTTTTTATTGTTTTGATACTAATTCTGACATTACAAGCCAAACAGGTAGACCTCTATACTTGCATTTTTTTTAAAGTTGACCTACCTTCTCTTCATTGTACCATGGTACCATGTATGCAACTAAATTTGCATTAATCACTGCAGTATAATTTCTATAGTAATATATGGTATATTTAGTTGCAATTTCTTGTTATTATAAAGGTAATTTTCCTTAATCTAAAATCTGTGAAACTAAAGATCTAAGTGCATATACAATTTTAAATTAATAGTAAATTGTAATTGTGTCTCTTAATTCTAAATAATAGTATATAGATATAGTTATTTTCATAATAAGATTGTTGTTTCTTTGATAAATAATCGCATAGTTTGTTGAACCTTTCCATAAAATTTGTCCTTTCCGACAAATTTGTAAAATCCAAGGTAGTTGGTCCGAAGTTACATTAAGCAAACTTTCTCGCCGCAAGTGTCTGTTTGTAGGAGAGAAAGGCAAGGCTTTAAAATGTTCTATAATGTCAGAAAAGGCAAAAATTAAAATTAAGAAACCAATTAACCTATATAAATGCAGAAATTTTTTTCAGAAAAAAAACATAAAAAAGTACTAAACTAGTCTAAATTAGTTAATTTTGAAAAGTTACTTTACGTTTTCAATCTTGTACATTTATTGAAAGGTAAATAACATTTCTGCAAAGTACTGCCAATTAGGACAATATTTTGTTTACTACCTTATTTTATCTAAACTACATTATTTTATCTATTAAATAATTAATTCATACACAAAATTGACAGAAGGTGTGGGTACATAAGCATTTTGGCATGGTAGAATTAAAAGGTAGCCAGCAGTAGGCAATTTGATATGTCAAAAAAGTTGTTGAATTCGAAATTCGCCCACATATACATAAAGCGAAAAACGAAGGTAAATAATTATTAAAATTGAAAAGTTTGGAAAAATTAATAAAAATAAAAAATCAAAATATATAGTGTTGTATGGTTTGTAAACGAACGTATATTGAGGGAGAGTCCAATACTTTAATTAAGTTAATATTTATTCATGAGTGTATTCACGAGTCACACACATAAAAATTCCATTCCATTATGAATATCTAGAGGCATTTAGATGCCTATTTCCTAATATTCGCCAATATATGATTTCTTCTCTATCCTTCAAAATAAATTCTTTCAAATTCTTTCTTTTCCCTGTTCAATATTTTCATAATTTAAATGGCAAACGTATCGTCATTACCCTCATGTTACTAATTTCAGATTCGACATGGACGTTTATTTGTAAAGTTGAGGGCTAAAGTAAATCATAACAGATTCATGATTATACCTTGGGGAAGTTCTTTCAAAAACCACGAATTGATTATTAGTTATTCTTAAAATACCCACAATTTCAGACCCGAGGATATTCTTTAAACTTCACGAATTGAGATCCGGAAATGTTCCTTAAAATTCACGATTTTAGACCCGGAAATATTATTTAATAATCAATTCTTTGATGTTTTGAAGGAATTTTTTATGTTTAGAAATCCACGATCAAAATCCAGAAGCTGTTATAGAAAATCCACATATTAAGGTCGACTTTTTATTTCTCGAATTCTATATGTGAATGGAATTCGCCTTGCTTACAATTTTCACATACCAAGTTTTCAGAAAAGTTGCCTTGTAATTTTCGCCAATGTTGCTACCTGGCATTTCTACCCATTCAGCTTGGCATCACAGCTAGGCATATTAATGTCAAATTATAAGGAAAAACGCAGGACCTGCGTGTGGTCATGCTGCTTACGTAACCACATCTATAGAAAAAATTGATACCTGTTATTTTTTTAATTGTACCATGCTTAAAACTAGTAAAAGATAACAACATTTATAACATAGGACAACAATTTTGTATAATCCCCATATAACGGTACATCCCAATAATCGGCATCGCTTAGTAGATACCAACCTCTCAGACAGAAAGATATTTAAATTGATCCACTTTTTCCTGTAGCCCCATGTAACGCTACCTGTCGACATTCGGTATTTTAATGGTTTAAAGAAGTTCACTCAGCTGAACTCAACGCTTTTTGTTTATTTTCATTGTTTCCCCAGCGAAAAATTGTATAGATTTTTTAATAAAATTATATTTTATCATCAGAAATCTAAATCCATTGGAAGAATAAAATTGGATTTTTATGTTTGTTGTATGCATTTAAAAATATTACATGTAATAACTTTAAATTTTTTGGAATAGGCACACTGGGCTCTATAATATCTTTAATGAACAGAAAACAGTAACAATATTAGAATTGATACGCTGATTTGTATTAAATCGATAAGAAAGAAATATTTATGACTATGCTGCATTTCTTTCAAACATATGTAGGTAAATGTTTATCACTTTGTTCTATAGAACTGTAATTATTGTAAGCAAAGTATGCAGTTGAAATTTACATTGTTTGTCACAATGTTCATAAATTATAATGGTTTAACCAAATAAACTTGTATGTGTTTAAAATTTCCAATAAGATTAGGGCGTAATTATACGTTATCAATAAATATGTTGCTTGTGCTAAATATTTTTCACTGATATCAGTTGGATGTCGTTCAACTTACCCTGGTGTGAATTATGCTTTCGTCCAACTTGAGATTTACAATGATGTTGTCGAACTCACAAAACGTATGGCATATTCAACTTTTATATCCATTTCTCAAAACCTTATCTTCAAAAAAATGAATTTCAGTATTTATACGAAATTGCATTTGATTTTAGTATTGCAATTCGGTTATATATGACTGGGAATTTCAAATCTGTTCATTGCTTGTTGGCTACTTTTTTGTTTGAGATTGTCAGACTATGATATGCAATGCTACGTGTTTAATTTCCTGATAAGTATAATCTCAAACAATCCTATAACTCATAAATTTTTCACAGATAGCTTATCTGAGCTCCACATCGGCGTCTGTTGTTTAAACGAAAAATATGACAAGAGTGTATAATACTTGAAAGAGAGTATGCGTTTAATGAATAGAAGATAACATAACAATTAATAAACCCCAATTGTATTTTTTGTTGCCAACAACTTTTTTCATTGTTTTACTGTAATTTTCCTTTCAGGTTAATACCATGCACAGTTCAAGTGGCTAAAATGATCCAAAAATCCGGCTGTGATGTCCTCTGCATCATTGACCGTCAAATTCCCAGTGAATTGGTTGAACAGTTCAATGAATTCCGTTCATTCGATAAGGCATTTGACAGTGTGGTCTCCTGCTTCAAGTCCCAAAAATTGAATTTGCCAGTGGTCTATTCACCAGTACCCGAATTGAGCGACTATCATGATGTGCGTACCTATCAACAGGCCGCAGCCAAATCGCTACAAAGAGCTATTAAGGCTGGTTTTAAATCGCCTTTGTTATTGATTCCCGAGAGTAAAAAATTCAGAAATGTTGAGTTGTGTACCGTTTTGGGTGCCTTGGAAGAACTCTATGTTGTAAGTTGTAATTTCTTTGTATTACAAAGATATATTTTAACATTTTCCATTGTTTTTTTTAGCCCATTCAATTGCGAGAGGATGTACCAGACAAGCGTCAACGCATCGAAAATTTGTCTGTTCTCATTTCAAATCCTAAAGCAGAAGAAATTGTGAAAGAAGCCTTGGTTTTGGAATCTGGAAGATTTGTCGCTCGTGATATCGGTAAGAAGTCGCTGAAGTTTACATTTCGCTCATTTACTTAAGAGTAAGAGTACGAGTCTTACCTTATCTTTTTATGAAATATATTTGATAACTTTAGAACTCCTTAAATTATGATTGTTCTTGTACAGAAACTTAGCACTGGCATCTGCCGACCTCTGCAAAAAAATGTCTTTATATATTTATATTATTTTTTGTGCAACAATCTTTTTAATTCTTGAAACACGCTTTTCTTGAAACTGAATTGTTAGAGATATAGTAAATCTCTTAGGATAAATGAGCGATATTCATGTATATAAATTAAGATAATGTGCATATCTATGAAATTAGCCCACTATTTACTTCTTGTCAATGAAACTGGGAACGCTAGTTCCGTACTGTTCTCAAAATAACTGCCCTAAAGTATGCTTTAAAATTCCCATCAATAAGAAATACTTTGACGACATAAACGAAGACATAATTCGAATATTTCTGCGTTAAACAAGCTAGAATAATATAATAAGCTTTATTAAAAATTTTAAATGGGAAGGGGTAATATATTAACGATTTTTACCAAAGGAAATGTATATGTTTTTCGCCAAAAAGAGAGCCACGGCATTTTGAAATTTTCGGTCCTCCTTAGGACCATTTATGGGAATGTTGATATTAAACAAGATGTTTAGAAAATTATATCAGACTTTATACCCATCTACACCCGTTGTATGCAATCTCCTGCATGGAAGTAGATAAATAAAAAAATGAGACTTTCTATTTCCTCTTCGTCTTAATACAGCTTTTTAGGGATTAGTTTACCACGCTTTATTGGTCAGAAACATTCAGTTTAGGTTGTTTGAGCCAGATTTCTCGAAAAAGGAAATATTTTTAATGCAAATGTATCCCAGTAAAAAAAACTCAAATTTGGCAAAAATATATCTGATAAAAATATCTTACATTAAAATTAACCATTGTATACTATTTTATTTATCAGTGCTGGATATTATCGTTTGGTATACTATATACCTTGGCCTTGTTTTATTTTCATTTTCGGTTACATTTGAATATACCATAATAAATAAAAATAATGAAACAATTATAATTCATTAATTATTATTATATATATATAAAAAATGTTGACCTTTTTATTACATGTATTTTTAAAACTTTCAAATCATCTTTTTCTCCACTTAATTTTTCAGGTGTTGGTGATCCAGAACGTATGGCTCCACCACGTGTTGAAGAATATGTAAACAAGTTGTTTGATGGTCTCAAAGTGACGGTTATTAGTGATGTCAATACCCTTACCAAGGAATATCCACTTTTCGCTGCCGTTAATCGTGCTGCAAACTCTGTAAAACGCCATCAAGGACGTATTATCTTCCTCGAATATGTACCACCACAACCGGCCAAGAAGACCCTGATGTTGGTGGGTAAGGGTGTTACCTACGACACTGGCGGTGCTGACATCAAAGCTGGTGGCATTATGGCTGGTATGTCGCGCGATAAGTGTGGTGCTGCAGCTGTTGCTGGTTTTATGCAGGTTAGTTGGTCTATGAAAAAACAAACAAATTTAGAAATTAAATAACTCAAAACTGTATATTCTAATTTAGATTGTCAAGGAACAAAAACCAGCTGATGTCCATGTTATTGCTGCTTTATGCATGGTGCGTAACTCGGTCGGTGAAGAATGTTATGTTTCCGATGAGGTTATCACCTCCAGGGCTGGAGTTCGTGTACGTGTTGGCAACACCGATGCCGAAGGACGTATGTGCATGGCTGATGCTTTGTGCCGCATGAAGGAAATTGCTGTTGCTGAAAATTTGCCCGATCCTCATCTTTTCACCATTGCTACATTGACTGGCCATGCTTTTGTGGCTGCTGGCGAAGGTTACTCCATCATTATGGATAATAGTGTGGCCCGTGCTGCTGATCATGCCCGTAAATTACAAGATATTGGCACTTCATTTGGCGAACCTTTCGAAGTTTCCGTTATACGTCAAGATGATTTCGATTTTAATACAGGCAAAGTTATCGGCGAAGATATTTTGCAGTGTAATAATTTGCCATCTTCTCGTACACCTCGTGGTCACCAAGTGCCGGCTGCCTTCCTTATGCAAACCACTGGTTTGGATAAACACGGCCTGGAGTCACAGAAACCATTGAAATATACCCATTTGGACATTGCCGCCAGTGCTGGTGAGCATCCAAAGATGCCAACTGCTGCTCCAATTATTGCTTTGGCAAAGGCCCATTTATCTTAAAAAGAGTAACATTACTGTTCTCATTGATCTAAAATTATATGGTTTATCTGCGATTTTGGTGAATTGAATTGTATGTTTTTGCTATGCGCTTTTTATATTTTTTAATTTAAGTATTACTGTTTCAAACAACTAAATAAAACACACATCACTACAAACAAATTAAATTGGGTTTTATTTGAATCAATCGATTAATTACAGATAGCGCCTCAAAGTATGCTCTGAAATGTTGATAAGAACTTTTATGAATATTTCTCTAGCTCCCTAAAGTATGCTTTGCTTTTTTTCGATTGACAGCCAAAATAAATTCTGTGGCGCTTCCTGTTATTTCTGGTCGCCTGGTATTTCACGAAATTTGCAGTTTGAGCATTTCGATTTTTGAGGGTGAGCAAATTCGAAAAAAATTCAAACAAGACAGGGTTTCGTGAAATCATTTTAATGCACTGTCCCAATTTCTTTATGTTAAATGTCCCCCCTTTTTTGGTATTCTTATAAAATAAAAAATACACTTTTTATTATTATTTAAACAATTTATTATTAATAGTGTTTAGTGGTTGTTTATTTATAATAAATAGTGGTTTATTACATGGATCCATTCCGGAGTCTGGAAAGTCGTATTTTGTGACACTTGTCTTGGATATTTTTGATGAATTCTTAAAAATATCCTTTATTTATTTGTTCAAGTAAGGTTTTTCGTTATACCTGGAATGAAAGAAAAAAGGAAAAGGGGATATCATTAATTGCTTGCCACAATATAAATACTTATGGCACACTATTCTGTTTTATATATTTTTAACACAATTAAATAATAGAAGTAGGCTGCTAGGGAATTTGTAATATATGTTTTTCAATAAAAAAAACCTTTTCTATTTGAAACGAAGTTGGACAAACCACGTTTTTCCTTTTTGAAAATATTTTAAGTTCCTTCTTTCTGCAGAATATCTTTTAGAGATTGAGGTCTTTCCTAGACTCGTGAATGTTTTTTTTTGTCTACATTCATTATTTGAGGTTTTTGATTCCAAAGAATCACCACAGGAACAAAGCTTTATATTGAAAGAATATCATATTATTGCAGGATATTTGGTATTGAAAATGGGCTACATAGGTCCACGGTTCGGCATATCCCCCAAATAATTGTACCGACAGATTTAAGTTTTTTTGGCTGTATTTGTCACAATTTTAACCCAAATTTGCGGTAAATTGGCAACTTATGTTCCCATTATGTAGGAAACATCCTTGCATAAAACGGTCAATGTAGGTCTAAGATTTGATATAGTTCCCATATAACTGTACCCCCAAATATTCGGTATTTTGGTGATTTGAATTTAAATTTAAAGTTCCTAATCCAATGACAGAATATTGCCCATATAGACCCACGTCTTCGTATAGCACCCATATAACGGAACCTTCCTATATTCGGTATTTTAATGACATTAGCGACTTTATTCACCGGGATTGTTTCAAACTTCACATTTTAAGTTCGTAATGTGTGCTACAGCCTGTGAAATTGGTATTCGGTATTTTTATATCCTCAGTCATATGTCAAAACGTGCCTAGTCGAAATAACGGTTTTAGACCCTAGGTCTCCTTGGACCAAATCCATTTCAGAACATTTGGAGTCGATCTAGCGATGTCTGTTCTCCGTCCGTCCGCCCGTCCGTCTCTCTGTCTGGCTGGCTGGTGCGCACTATAACTCTCGAAGGGAGTATCCGATTTGGTACATTGTAATATTTTTGTCAAACTTAGATCGAGTTCGGAGATGGGCAATATCGGTTTACTCCTTCTAGTACCTCCCCCACAAAAGGTCGAAACTTTCAAAAATATATTTCTTGCACAGAAAGAGAAAGGATAATCCGATTTTGCTCCAACTTTGCAAATCATAATATTTGCGTCAGTGCTAGGTCAGGTGTGAAAATGGACGATATCGGCCCACTCCATCAAGTTCCTCCCCCACAAATGGTCAAAATTTTGAATAATTACTACTCTCATTAAATGTGAATAAATATTTATATTAACCCAAGGTCTGGTGTTAAGTTGGACAATATCGGTCCACTCCTTCTGGTACCTCCCCCATAAAAGGTCGACATTTTCAAAAAATATGTTTTTTGCACAGAAATAGAAAGGATAATCCGATTTTGCGTCAGTACTAGGTCAGATGCGAAAATGGACAATATCGGTCCACTCTATCAAGTACCTCCCCCACAAATGGTCAAAAGTTTGAATAATTACAACTCTTATAAAATGTGATGTAAGAGTCCGACTGTCTTCAAATTTCACACATCTTTCTATTTTTATGAATCAAAAATCTGGAAGTAAGACGGAATATATCGGTCCACTTCTTCTGGTACCTCCCCCACAAACGCCTAAAATTTTGAATATCCATGAAGTTCATAAAAAGCGATATAAACATCCGAATCCATTCCAGACATGGTACATCTCAATATTTCCATGGTGGTAGAGGTCGGACCATTTCTTTTGCTATTCGTTTTTTTATTTTAGCCGCATTATTCAGCGGAATTGTTTCAAATTTGGTATTTGAAGTTCATAATGGATATTACAGCCTAAGACAGAAAATCGTCTGTGGAGTCCACATCTTCGTATAGCCCCGATTTTTTTAAGTTTTGCATTTAATATTGTAATGGCTTATGACAAACGTTACCCATGCAGGTCCATGTCGTCGTATAGACTAAGATAACAGCTACATTCGGTATTTTTTAAGATTTTAAAAGAATTTTTAAAAAATTTTATTGTTTTTGAAAATTGCCAAATTCGTTCCAAATGGTGGAGGGTATTCAAAGTTCGGTCTGGCTGAACTTACAGTTTTTTACTTGAACTGGTTAAAGTTGTATTATTCCCCCACGGTTAAGGCTATTTTTACAACTTGTAAAAAGTTTCCGATATTTTCAATCTCGTCTCCATCCATTTGGACTCCCAGATCGTGCTTTACGCTCTTTGCCCCAACAACAGCACTCGGTGTCAGCACCAAGAACAACAGCAACAACAACTGCCACATAAACAGCATTTAGTAATAACCGGCATTTAACTGAAAATGTACCACTACTAAAGAACGGGATATGATGCAATAGCAACAGGAATGAGACACTCTTGACCGACTTTTTTCTGCAGTTAAACTGAAAAACTAACGGTTTACTTGACCGAGCTAGCCTAGCCAGCTAGCCATCAGCCACCAATGTGCAATAGTTTCTGGCCACTATTGGCAAAACTGTTTCTTTTTTACGATCTTTGTTTTTGCCTTTTCCTTTTTAACTTTCCACAAAAAAAAGAAAAAAAAAACACAAAAGAAAAGAAAACTATTTTGCCAAGAACAGCAGCAGTTAGACAAACAACAACAAAGAAAAGAAATGCTCATAGATGGGTCTTTGGTGCTATAAATTATGCACCGGTCAGTGAGGTAGAGTCAAATCGAATTGTTGGGCTATGTGCTCCCGACGACGCAAGTTTACACATTGTCAGTCTTGTTCTGCTTGTAAGTTGGAGTGCGGTTGCGGTACATATGCGGGAGGTGTGTGGCACCTACAACTAGGGTGGCACAAATGGCGAATGGATGAATGAATGTTCTTTTCATACAACAGTATACGTATTTACCTACCTATGCGGGTTTTTGCATTTGTGAATGCGAATTGTTTGTAGCTATGGATGGATAGCTGGTTAGAAGGCACAATTATATATTCTATATTGTTATTGACTTGTTGGGGAGACGTCTTTGCGGCCATATAATTATGCAGCGACTTTGACAGCCCACAAAAGAAAGAAAGAAGGGAAAAAACATCTGCCGTGGACTCATTCACGTACAATGTTCTGATGCATTATCGTCTGCCACAGACTTCTTTCTAACTGGGTTTGCATGTAAATAGTGGACATTCCTTTTGGTTTGACCTAATAACGGTTTCCAATGTCCATTGTTGTTCAATCACATAAAATGGAACGAGGGGAATAGAAAGCACTCGAGTTTAAACAGTTAATATTGATTTAAGACCTAAGCCCAGTCTTGGCCTTAAGCTTCTTTTTGAAGCATCGTAGGTTTTTGCATTTTAATGATTTTTAAGTAGAATGCTAATTAATGTTTATAGGAAACAGCATGATAACAAAGTCCTTGTTAGGGCAGACAATGACCTCGTAAAGCCGGATTTTCAGAATTTGACCAACTCTGTGTGACTATCTGTACATTGAAATCAAAACAGTTTATATTACATTTAGGATTAGGATATATATATTGTAATCACGCCATCGGTCGCAGTTATGGCCCGATCTTCACAAAATTGAAAAAGGAGGTGGGGTTGGGTTTACAATAGAATCCCATTGTTTTTGGAGATGATCACAAAATATTTAGGTGTTGAAATGGATTTTCCTGATTTTACAGTTGCTCTACATACCATAATTTTGGACAGAATCCTACCAATTTGGATGGACATCGAACAATATTTAGCGGGTAAAATAGTCCATAACTTTTATATAAGAAAATGCGAAAATTTCCATTAAACCGCGAATATTTTTAATCTTGGCGAAACCAAAAACACACGAACAAGTCACTTCTGACCGTTATAGTGATGCAAAAAGACGAGATATCAGATATAAATCAAAATAGGTTCAATATACAGGGTGAGATGAAAAAACTGCAACAACTTCAGACTGATGTCATTTCTAAGCAACTCCTCCGACAGCTGTTAAAATTATTCCAGTGACAGAACTTTATATTGTTTACAAGTGTACAAAAGCATTTTGGTGAAAAGTTTCCAGAAAAAAAGTTATTCGTGATGGAATTCAAGGGTGATGTACAAAATACTTTGTACATACTTTTGAGTGCGGTTGAGGCGCTGGGAAAAACTAGCAATAATCAATAAATATTCAAAAATTACATATTTCCCAGCCGCCATAAAATACCACATGTGAACAATTCGGTGATCTTGTGCGCTGACGCATACGATAATGTGTCAGATAATAAAGGTTATGACCCACACGCACAGATATCGATGCGCTCAGTAGATGCACAAGATCACTTGAATGAAATGTAAAGCAGCCCTGCAATGTTCTCCATTCAATATTAGAATAGATAAGAACAATTGTGTGGCTGCGACTAGGTTAAGTTAGATTAGTTTCAGTAGTACGTAAGGAACAAATATTTTAAATAAAAACAGAATTGAATCAACAACCAAACCGTTCGGTTGGTTTTCTCTTCTCATTCATTGGTCCTTCGAAAAAATTAAAAGAATCAACGACCTAGAATAATATTCACTGCAAAAAAGAAGCCAAAAAAAAAAAAAAAAAATTAATAAAACAAAAAAAAAATCAAAGCAACGAAAAGAAAAAACAAAAAGAGGGCATCAAAAGTCCCAACGAAAAAAAAAAGAGCTAAGAAGGCAACATAAAAAAGCGAAAAAAGAACCACAACAAAAATAAGCAAGATGTCAGCAGAAAGACATAATCTCTATAAAATCCAGCAAACAATCCTTAAGGAAATAGTTGATATTTCGGAAAAGGTAAAAACTGGAACAACAAGAAAAGCCGCTTTAGACGCGTCATTAAATTCATTGGAGAACAAAATGGGCGAAGCAAGGTTGTACCACTCAAAATTGAGTGAAATGAAGCCCAAAAACGACGCATATTTTAAAGATAATATCTGGGAGAGAATCCAGAACTATTATGAGGAAAGCAGGGAGCTGATACAAAAAAGGAAAAATGAGTTCCAAAAACAGGAGCTACAAGAATTGGAGGTTGAGCTTCACAAAGCAGAGGATTCAACAGCGTCAGGAGACATTCAAATAGAAAATCCTGGAGCAGTGAATACACCCGAATGCAACAATACAGCAATAATGCAGCAACAGTTTCGGGAGTTACAGGAGATGTTGCTGCAGAAGCAGCAGGAGCAAATAACATCAATTTGCGAAGAATTTCAGCAGATGTTCCTGAAACAACAATCCAACCAAAATAAAGATACGGAACAAGTGGAGAGGCAAGCCGTAGCATGCAGACAGACTGAGAAGAAGAACGCAGTGCTATCGCAGTTCAGAAGAAAGATCTTGAAACTTTCTAATGCTGTTGAAGAAGATATTTCGGGCATGAGCAAATACGCTTTGGAAAATAAAAAGCTTTCTTGGGAAAAGCAGTTCGAAGATATTAAACAGTTGCATTTGGAACTAACCACCGAACATGGAATGGAAGAAGTAGACGACGAATTAGAAGAGGTGGAAGAAAAAATGAATGCGAAAGTATGCAATGTAATCGAAAAGATAAGTGGCCTGAAAGAAGCCGCTCAGACAGTGGAATTAAAAAGGATTCAGATTCCATTCTTCGATGGAAATGTGGAGGAGTGGAGTTCTTTCCACGACTTATTCAAAAAAATGGTCGACGGTAATGCTCAACTATCGGAGGTACAAAAGCTATACTACCTCAAAACTAACCTAAGAGGAGAGGCGTTTCGTTTGGTGCAGCATTTACAAGTTACGGACGCAAATTATAAGGCAGCGTGGGAATTATTAGAGAAACGCTATAATAATAAAAGAATATTATTCACTAAACTGGTGGACAAAGTCTTGGATCATCCCAATATAAATAGTCAATCAGCAACAAGCCTTCGAAAGTTATTGGACAGCGTGAATGAAAGTATTCATGCATTAAAAGCTATGGAGATACCGCTAGATCATGCAGACCCGATTCTAGCAAGAATTATAATAAGAAAGTTGGATAAGGATGGGCTCATTCAATATGAGCAAAATGTAAAAAAATCAAAAGAAATACAAAGGCTGGCGGATGTGTTGGACTTTCTAGAACAGCAATATCAAGCATTGGAGGCTTCGGCGGGCAGGAAGCAGTTCGTTCCAGTTCCATACAAACAACTGGATAGACTTGGAGTGACGGAGAAAAGACCATGTCGGTTTTGCATGTTCATGGGTCATGATATTGTGACTTGTAGAAAATTTGCGGCACAAACAGCAAACGAAAGGTACAGTTGGGTGAAGGCAGCCAAGTTGTGCTTTAAATGTCTAAAGCACGGAAAAGAAAACAAATGCTTCAGCGATAGTAAATGCCAGAAATGTGGATTGTTTCATAATACCCTAATCCATCTGGAGGGAACGAGCAACACCAAGGCAATGACAACCAATACAGCTGCAAATGTTCTCCTGGCTACCGCCCAAGTTCGTGTCAAGTCCGTGCATGGAGAATACATCACTCTAAGAGCCTTGATAGATCAAGGATCGCAAGTAACATCTGTATCCGAAGACGCAGCACAACTACTACAGCTGCCCAAATTGAAGACAGACGTAAGACTAAGAGGTCTAGGTGAAACCATGGTAGGCGTTGCAAAATCGAAAGTATTTTTGGTGATAAGGCCAAGATTTTTCAGCGATACCAAAATCGAAGCAGAGGCACTAGTTCTACCGAAGTTAGCATCAGCACATCCGGATAACAATTTCAAATACAACATTGAAAGATGGGGAAACATAAGTTTAGCGGATCCCAACTTTAATAAGTCTGAAAGGGTCGATCTGGTAATTGGGGCGGACCTTTTCCCACAAATATTGGAAGATGGAGTTCGTCACGATGAGCCGATTGTGGCACAGAACACAAAGTTAGGATGGATTCTATCGGGAACAATACAAATGAAGCCAGCAACGAACAACATAAGGTCTGCAGCTACAACAACAATTGAGCGTTTTTGGGAGATCGAGGAGATAGAAGGCGAAGAGACGATCGCGGAAGATGATTTTTGCCTAAAACTTTATGAGGAAACAACACGATTAGATCTTTCGGGAAGATTTGTAGTACGGCTACCATTAGTGGAAGACAAAATTTTGGGAGAATCGTACAAAAGAGCAATGGCAAGATTTTTAAGTCTAGAGAAAAGACTGGAAAGTTGTACAGAATTGGGAACAGAATATAGAAAAACCATAAAGGAGCTAATATCAATGAAACACATGGGGAAAGCAGATCAAATGAAACAAGGAAAATATTACATGCCGCATCAAGCAGTAGTACGCGGAAACAGTCTAACTACAAAAGTGAGGGTGGTGTTTGATGCATCATCAAAAACATCAAACGGGAGATCGCTGAATGACATTCTTCATACGGGTCCAAAATTACAAAGAGATATATTCGACATCATCACTAAATGGAGGACATGGAGATTCGTTGTTTCAGCCGATGTGGAAAAAATGTTTAGGCAAATAAACATTGATGAGGAAGACCAGGAATATCAATATGTACTTTGGAGAAACAGCAAGACCGAGCCTGTACAACAATATAAATTAACAACAGTTACATATGGCACCGCATCAGCTCCGTTCTTGGCTGTGAAATCCTTGATTGAAATTGGAAATAGATGCAAAAATCAAAAGATAGCTGGAAAAATTAAAGAGGATTTCTATATGGACGATCTGCTAACAGGAGCCAATTCCAAGGAAGAATGTCGGGAAGTTCAAAAGCAAATAACGCAGGAACTAGAGACTTACGGGTTCCACTTAAGGAAATGGATCGCAAATGACTCTGAAGTTTTGGATGCTGTGAACAGAAGAGAGGAAAACGAAGTGTTACATATACAAGAAGATGAGTGCCTGAAAACATTAGGGTTGCAGTGGAACCCAACCATGGATTGTTTCACCTTCAATATGCAAATAGGTGAGGAAGAAAAATTACGAAGCGATTAGCATTGTCGAGTTTGGCAAAGATTTTCGATCCGTTGGGTTGGCTAACCCCAGTTACAATAACAGCTAAGCTGTTCATTCAGCATTTATGGAAGCAGCAAATGGAGTGGGACTTACCATTGGAAGAAAGTCTAGGAGCTGAATGGAGAAAATTCAAGCAAAATCTCCACGCTCTGAAAAATGTGAAAATACCAAGATGGTATCAAATAAGACCGTCCAGTACAGTACAGCTTCATGGATTTGCGGATGCATCGGAAAAAGCATACGCAGCAGTAGTGTATCTGAAGGTAGATTCGCAAATTTCAATAGTGGCAGCAAAAAGCAAAGTGAATCCGATAAAAAATGCCAAGACTCTTCCAAAATTAGAACTCAGTGCGGCACATCTCCTAGCAAAGCTACTTCAAAAGATAGGGAATACCTTGACATCAGCGGAAAACGTATATGCATGGAGTGATTCAATGATTACGTTAGCGTGGATAAACAACTCAAAAAACAAAGACAAATTTGTAAGAAACAGAGTGGTGGATATTTTGCAACGAATCCCGGCGGCGAAATGGGGATATGTCAAATCAAAAGAGAATCCGGCAGACTTAGGATCAAGAGGTGTTTCTCCCGATACACTAATAGATAATAAATTATGGTGGAATGGACCTGAATGGCTAGTACAAAAGGAAAATGAATGGCCCAAACCAAATCCGAAGACAACAATGGCAGTAACGACAAGAATATCAGCGGTTGAGAATAGCGTCTATGAAAAAGTAATGAAGTTTGCATCATTTAGAAAACAAATAAGAGTCATGGCCTACATACGGCGATTTATTCAAAAATTAAAAGGGACTAAAACAGAATGTGAGCATCTGACAGCGATCGAATTAGAGGAAGCAGAAATGGCAATAATAAAGATACATCAGGAGCTTGAATGGCCGGCCGAAATGAGTCAGTTAAAATCGGAAGGAGCAGTAGATCATAAAAGTAAAATTGCTTCATTATACCCGCGGCTGGACAAACTTGGAGTTATGCGAGTAGGAGGAAGACTCCAATATTCATCGTTGCCGTATAATCAAAAACATCCGATTATAATCCAGAAGTCGATGTTAGCAGGAAATATTATTCGGCAAGCTCATTTGGAAACTTTTCATGGAGGAATTCGAATTATGGATAACATAGTAAGAAGAAAATACTGGATTATTGGAGCAAAAAACAGGATAAAGCTATGTATAAGAAGCTGTCCAAAATGTATACGTTATCGAGGTGAAGTGAAAAATCAGTTGATGGGGGATTTACCGGAATGCAGAGTTAACATAAACCAGCCTTTTCAACATAGTGGAATAGATTATGCGGGCCCCTTCCAAATAAGGTGTTCCAAAACAAGAGGAACTAAATCAATGAAAGGCTATGTAGCGGTTTTCGTCTTCATGGTGACGAAAGCAGTTCATCTGGAAGTCGTTAGCGAGCTTACCACAGAAGCATTTTTAGCAGCTCTTAGACGATTCTTTGCTAGAAGAGGCAGATCAAGCGATTTATATTCGGATAATGGAACGAACTTTGTGGGGGCAGCTAGACAATTGGACAAAGATTATATAGAAGCCTTAAAAAACAACTCTAATTTAACTCCAATTTTGGAAAATGAACGAGTTAAATGGCATTTTATCCCCCCGGGAACTCCTCACTTCGGAGGAATGTGGGAAGCGGCTGTCAAATCGATGAAGTATCACCTAAAAAGAATCGTTGGTGACATGAAGTTGACGTATGAAGAAATTAGCACCGTGCTGGCCCAAATAGAAGCGGTATTAAACTCGAGGCCATTACACGAGCTAGATAGCAGCCCGGAACACATCGACACTTTAACACCAGGCCATTTTATAATTGGACGTCCTTTATTAGAGGCTCCGGCAAGAATCGAGGAAGGAAGTTTAGCATGCGTTAACAGATGGAAACTACTACTTAGAATAAAAAATCATTTCTGGAGAAAATGGAAGGAGGAATATTTGATGACCTTGCAAAATCGTACGAAATGGAGGAAGAAGGATAGATATCTGGAAGTGGGTCAAGTAGTTATCATTAAAAATGAAGAGACACATCCAGCTCGTTGGCCATTGGCGAAAGTGACAGATGTACATCCGGGAAAGGGTGGGGTTGTAAGAGTGGCAACTGTGAAAACACAAGACGGAGAATTAAAGAGACCAATAAATAAGAGCACATTAGAGCACGTAGATAATATACAAGAAGATCTGCAACAAAAACCCATGTCAGTGAATACAACAAGGCGGTTACCGAATCTAATGCGAAATCCTGCAATGATGCTGACCATGATTATGAATCTTTGTTTGGTAATGTCGACTAAGGCATCTTCCGTCAAAGAATTGAACAGCTCGTCGGCAATGTACTTAGATCCATTTTCACAAATTCATATGGCCACATCTTCATGGAACATGGTTGTTTATTTTGAAATGAAACCCTACTTAGAGACACTGGAGCTTGCAACAAGGTTGTTAAACACCTCGAAGGAGATATGCCCTAGACTCCAAACATTTAAGGATCAATGCTGGTCAGTCATAAACAATATGGAGTATAAAGTTAACAAAATCAAGACGAATAACCGTTTATTCTTGAGGGAAGATAAACGACATAGAAGGGGAGCTCCATTGAATTTCATAGGGTCTTTTCAGCATTGGGCGTTCGGAGTGATGGACGACGAGGACCGCGTGACAATGGAAAGCAATATGAGAAACTTATTAGCCAACCAACATGATCTAAAAGAACTAACGAAAAAGCAGACATCGGTAGTTGATTCTACGATCAACCTGCTGAAAAGAACGACAGAGGAAGTCAATTCTCACTTTACGGAAATAAAGTGTAAAATTGAGAACATAAGCGCCACAATGAACGAGAGCTATTTCGTCTATAGAGAATCAATTCGATTCTTTATGATCACCAAACAGATGCATGAACTCATAGAAGAATGTGAGGAGGTGCAAAAAGAAGGTTTGGAGATATTGTTAGACGCAAATAATGGTCATGTACACCCTGTGCTTATAAGTCCGGAACAACTGCAGTCAGAGGTAGCTAGAATTCGGAATGAGCTACCCGCTAAATATGTTTTACCCGGTAAGAGCACTGGAACAGAACTACATTTGATGAGGGGACATGGAATGTTCATCGGTTCACAATTGATAATCGACTTAAAGATTCCTCTATTCAATCGGCATTCATCTCAAGTCTACAGAGTAATTCCAATTCCCTTTGAGCAAGAGGGTACGGTATTGATACCGAGGATAAAGGCACCATACATCGTTTATAATTTCGAATTAGATTCGTTTCACTACCTGACACAAGCCATGCTGAACGAATGCAAAAGAACATTGGGAGATGAAATTGTATGTGAAGAGAACTTCCCTTGGAGAGATGCCATTACAAACAATTGCGAACTAGCACCACTGAGGCCACACATTAAGCTAAACTGCGCGTATGATGAAGTGGAGAAAAGTCCATATTGGATACAAATGAGGCACAAAGGAAATTGGCTCTTTAAGATTTTCGGAAATGCATCGGCTCATATAAAGTGCTCTGAAAAACAGCAAGTCATCATGGAACTCCCGCAGCAAGGCATTTTATCTTTGGAGGCGGACTGCACGGCTAGGATTGATAAAGTGACTTTGGTAGCAGTCCATCGACAAAGGAATAAAATAACATCCCAATTTCACCCTATACTTTTAAAGGACGTGAGTCAGGCAGAAAAGGATGTTATAAAACCCCTAGGCAATGTGGTAGTCAATCATCATGAAGAGATCAACCAACTAAAGAAGCTAGTGGATGACTTGAAGAAGGAGAACATCCAGTTAAGAGGGTTAGAATTCCATTATTTGTCCGGACACTTTGCATTTATTTTAGTAATAATAATATCCATAATTCTCATAATTCTATTTATAAGAAAAATGATAATTAGAAAACATATTGCTGCTATACAATTTCCAGTCGTACCGAATGTCTAGATAATATTGCCGGCCGGGAGAATGTTCATAGAAATATGAACATAATTTTTACATTAGTTTAATCTATACATAGACAATGCTCGATCATAAAATATTTTATTGCCGTAGTCATAAATATCGGGAAAACACTTGTGTTTTAAATAAGTGCAGCATAGTTTATGACACTTAATGTGAACGGTTGGGGTGCACTGATAATAAAGGCAATGCCCAAGTGATAATGCACTCAGCCGACAGAAGATAAGTGGAGGTTGTTCTAAAAATAAGATACCCTAAGATTAATATTGCAGCTTAGCTCTTAAGAAAAATATTTAACCAAATAAAATCAGAATTGAAATAACACCCTAACGAAGCGGTCGTGTTTCTTTTCTCACTAAATATTGCTCCAGTCGAGCCGAAAACAGAATAGAGTTGACAATCGAAGAGATAGATTGGACTCTATTCTTATCATTAAAAACATTGATCCTCCGAGCAGGATCCAAAATAGAATTGAATCAACAGCCAAACCATTCGGTTGGTTTTCCTTTCTCATTCATTGGTCAATCGAGCCTTCACTTTTGTCAAAGTGAAACGAATTAGCGACCACAAAAAGAAAATAGTAGGAGTTTTCCCCCACCAGTGGTAAGAGACTCACTACAAGCAGAAGTAGCTATTCTTCAAAAAAGAGGAGAATAGCTACCAATAAAAATCCGTTGAGGGATAAAATTGTAAAGAGCCATAAAGGCAAAATTTAAAAATATAAAAAAAGACCCTCGGGGCAAACTAAAAAAAAAAAAACATAACAAAAAGAGGACAACAACAGTCCCACAAAAAAATATACAATTTTGGAAAAGAAAAAATCAAAAAATCGAAAAAAGCCAAGAAGGCAATATAAAAAAGTTTTGAAAAGAGGACAAATAGTCCCATCTAAAACATTAAAATTAAAAAATGAATAAAAAAATGGAAGAAAATATCACCACTTTGGCAGACTATTTCCAGCTATTAACGTCGACGTCAGCCTTTGAAAAGGTGAAA